GGTTCCAAACTCCTGGAATTAAGCAATCTCTTGCCTTAATCTCCGAGTACATGGAATACAAATATTCTCACCACATCTGCTAGGATTCTTTTTTTTTTTTTAACATTAGAGTAATGGTAATCAACCAGTTTTAAAACACTTGAATTAAATTTGCTCTTTGACAATTTGCTACACATATAAAATGCATCAATTACTCTCACTACCCCATAGACCAATCTCTGGTCACCCTTCCACTTCCTCCCGAGTCCTTTTCTCATTGTATGATTGGCTCTTGACAGATACAGCTGCTGTGATTGATGGTTGTAATGGCCATGCCATTTCCAGAAGATAGCATTTCGAAGACCTTCTCCCTCATCCTCTGGTTCTGATTCTTTCTGTCTCTCTTCTATAATGTTCCCTGAGCCTCAGAGAAGTAAGAACCAGATGTGTTTTTTTTTTTGTTTTTCGAGACAGGGTTTCTCTGTGTAGCTTTGCGCCTCTCCTGGAACTCATTTGGTAGCCCAGGCTGGCTTCAAACTCACAGAGATCCGCCTGGCTCTGCCTCCCGAGTGCTGGGATTAAAGGCGTGCGCCACCACTGCCCGGCTAGAACCAGATGTTTTGTTTCCTGTTTGTGTTTAGTAATGGCAACTACTATACTATAGTTGTCTGTAATATGAAACTATGAATAAAACATTTCATAGGAGCCAGGCATGGTAGGTAGCTCATGCCTGTAATTTTTTTTTTTTTTTCATGCCTGTAATCTTAGTGCTTGGGAAATCTGGCTAGGATTGTTGAGTTTAAGGTCAGACTTGGCTAATAGTGACTTCCAGGGTAACCTTGGCTAGAATTTGTTTATTTGAAAACCAAACCAAACCAAACCTCTAAGATTGACCAAATAAAAATTGCCATTTTCTTTTCTTTGTGAGAGACTCTCCCTATGTAGCCCTGGCTGGCCTGGAACTTGCTGGCCTCTAACTCACTGAGTTCTGCCTGTCTCTGCCTAGAGTGCTGGGATTAAAGGCGAGAGCCACCAAGTCCTGCCTCTTTGAAACACACTTACGCAGTTCTCAAGTGTAAACTTGGCCTCGGCCTCCCCAGTGCTGGCCAACAGGTGTGCCACCACACTCAGCTTTATTTACCTTACTTTTGCATTAGGAAATGGTTCCAGTTTGTAAATTTGCTTCAGAGAATCCTTTTCCTACTGTTAACATCGAGGGAAGTGTCCTGACTTCCATGCTAAGGTGATGGCTTATTTCACATCAAATCTCTAGAGCTAAACATTATGTTCTCGAGTCCCAAAATAGCTTGAAGAACCTGCCTCAAATCATTACTGTTTCTGTTGATGTTTAAAATGATACCTATACAGGGAGCCAGTGAGGTGGCTCAGTGGTAAAGGTGCCTGGTGCCAAGACTGATGACCTGAGACTCACATGATGGAAGGAGATAACCAACTCCTGCAATTATTCTCTGACATCCACATGTGTGCTGTGAGATGTGTACAAGAACACACAAATAGGCACACACAGAGAGACAATAAATAAAGTGTAATAAAAAATTATGTGTATACATACAATAAAATGTAATTTTAAAAAGACAAAGTGACATATACAAATTGGTGAAATTGGCTGATGTGACCAGGAAAATCAACTCCTCACACAGGGAGGGCTCAAAGTATTTCCCAGATGAGGACTGTAAGCTGAGCTTCTTTGTTTAAATGTCAATTTACATGTAGTACTGCATACACTTCCAACAGGAGACTAAGTCTTCTCATAAGTAACTGTTACTAGTTCTGTTTCTCACTCATTTGCAGTCTTAGCAGTGACACAGGCCAGTACAAAGAAAGAGTTAAATGCATTATTGGTTCTCACTTGTGCTTTCAGGGCCAGATCCAGGACACATGCCATTCATGCTCTGCTCTAAGCATTTCTTTACATTCCAGAAAGCACACCAGGAGGCCATGGAGTGATACTGTGGACTGGATAACTATGAACCCAGGCCATATCATCAGTCACCCCAGTGGATACAATTTCACATGATTCTCACATTGCATACTGTATCAAGACACTTCTATGTCACCTCTGCCAAGGACCCTTCACTCACTGAGTGCCTTGCTTTCCTTTAATGAGGGACAAGATTTTTACATGCATTCAGTTTTAGAATATTTATTTGATTTATTTACATAATTAGTAGAAAGGAGTTCTTAAAAATATTTGTTTCTAGAAATAATAGAAAATAAAATTAGTAGAGTCATGTTACACAACTTGGGAAAGGCATATCCATCCTTTCAGAGAAAGTTTTTTTTGCGGCGCCCATGATGGAAATGCTTGAGCAGCTGGTGACAGGTTAGCATAGAAGGAGCCCTTGTAAGTTTTCCACATTTTCTTTTTGATCACTGTTTACTTTTGAGTCCAGTGGAAAGAGTCCTGAAAGTAAAAGGCACCTAGAGCAAAATTAGACCTTTACCAATAAAAACTATGTACTTATATCAAGGAAAAGTTCACCTGAAAGACGCTGATACTATAAACAGGAAAGCCACTGCAAGCTAAGACATCTATAACTGCTTACTTGAATCCAACACACAGCTGCACCATGAAAACCATGTTGTGTTTATAAACCTTTGAACCAACATGAGTACAGTGTGTTAAGTATGTACTCTAATTTCCATAGTCAAGATCTGTTTGCTGCATTTGCTCTTGAGACGAATCACTGTGTATTCCCATCATGGACTTATAAAAATTCCCGGTGTTTGTACTTCAGGAGCGCAGCAAAGCCTAAAACTGCTCCTTTAAACCAAAGTCCCCTTTATTATTATAAAGCCAAAAAGCTGATGCTGTACTAAGATTTAAGCACCTAAAGTATATCCTGACCAATTTATATCTTCTGAGCTATAATTAGGATCCTCAGGATTTGTATATGTGTACAAACATTGTAAATTTCTTTAAGCTGATAAAAACTTTAAAAAATACAAATAATCTTTTACTATAAAAGTTTTAAAAATCAAATATGAGTCAGCAATTAAAAAAGAAAAGAACAGGAGGTCATCGAGCGGGTACTTGTCTGTGTCTCCTCTCTGAAGAATGCACTACTCATCGCAGCCAGTTTGTATTCAGCTGGGTCTGCTTCTTGATGCTGGTGTCCATTTTTAGCACTTCTCGAATGGCCATGGTGGCGTAAGTAGATGGAGGAAGAGAAAAGTCCATCTTCAGAGCCCTATATTTGCCTTCTACCAGGCAAGAAAGAAGTGCGTGGTCAAAGACTGAAAGTGGCTGCCGGCTGACCAGAGATCCCAAGACTCCCCCAAAGCTATACCCTTTCCTTAGGATTCTACTCCCCAAGGGTCCTCAGAGGATGAGACCATGGAAATGAGAGCACATGAGTGTATAAACCAGCTGGATGTATGTGGCAACTTTATTCAGGATAACAGAGCAGGTAGGGCTGGAAAGATGGCTCATCAAGTAAAGTACCTGCCACTGAGCCTGATGACTTGAATTTGATCCCTGGGACTCATCTGATCTCTTCAGTCCAGTGAAGAGCACCGGCTCCCACAAGTTCTCGGGTTCTCTCTCTGTCTCTGTCTCGCCCCCCCATCTCTCTCTCTCTCTCTCTCTCTCTCTCTCTCTCTCTCTCTCTCTCTCTCTCTCTCTCTCTCTCTCTCTCACACACACACACACACACACACACACACACACACACACACACACACACACACACACACGAAAAACTCTTCACATCATGCTCATTTACCAGAAGCAAAAATTGGTGGTGGTTTTCCTTCTAGATTGTCCACATCCGTGTTGAAAAGTGGAATTTTAGGATCATTATATGCAACGACTTCCCTTCAAAATACATAAAGATAAGCATGAACGTGAACATTCACAAATGGCACAAAGCTCTTTATCCCCATTTGTGGAGCAAGAAAAACATAGTTTGACTAGTAAGCCTCCCCCAGAATAGAACAGGCCAGATTTTATGCATAACAACTGCTTTTCCCTTACTTTATAATAGATGACAAATGCTATCAGAGGGTGGAAATGACCTGGAAGGTTTCTCTAGCATGGTGGACTTCATTTTGTATGGGTGAAGTGCAAGTAACCATGGCATTTACATTCCCACCACAGTGGGCACCACTGCCATCACCTTCTTATGAGAGAAACTGCTCCCCAGAGCATGGAAGGTAAAATCCAACTCTACCAACTTCATGCCCATTACCAGGAAAAAAAAAGAAGAAAGGAGAATTTCCTGGCAATGGGCAACTAGTTCAGCATTTAATTTTAAAGTTAGAAAAGCTTCAGGAAATAAAAAATATCAAAGGTATCTTTTAAAATAGATACATATTTTAAATTCTAATTTTATTTTGTATGTATGAGTGCTTTGTCTGAATGTGTGTCTGTGCACCATGTGTGAGTGGATAGAAGAGGGTGTGGAGCCCCTGGAACTGGAGTTACAGAACTGCCATGTAGGTGCTGGGAACTGAACCCTGGTCCTCTAGAGGAGCAGTCAGTGCTCTTAACTGCTTAGTTATCTTTCTTTTTTTTTTTTTTTTTGGTTTTTCGAGACAGGGTTTCTCTGTGTAGCTTTGCGCCTCTCCTGGAACTCACTTGGTAGCCCAGGCTGGCCTCGAACTCACAGAGATCCGCCTGGCTCTGCCTCCCGAGTGCTGGGATTAAAGACGTGCGCCACCACCACCCGGCTTAGTTATCTTTCTAGCTCCAGAATCAAATGAAGTTTTACAGAGAAAGGTAAGAAAGTTCATTTTCTGTGTATCTGTTTAGTAAGTCAGGGATGCCAACAAAATATAAAAAGAAGTAACTTTCACTGCATGACTGCAGTCAACACTAAGTTCTTGATCACTTGAAAAATACCAACAGGTGGCAGTAGTGACAGCAGTGATTAGGACAGTCAACAGCTATGGAGCACTTACATGCTGGATTCTAAGCACAGAAACACACACACACACACAAAGCAAAACCTTGTGGTTCTATAAAATACTCCACTTCTGTATCCTCAGTCTATACTTACCAGCTGACATTCTGAGGCCGAATAATGATCTTTCGATAGGCACCTGATAAGGAGTAATCTCGAATTGTGTGTCTCATGTTGTCAATATCAAGATTGTCTGCAGTGAGCATTTCCCTGTAGGCTTCACTAACTGATACAAAACACAAACAGTTAATTGGAATGCAGTCTGTCAGCACGTAAACTTGAACTGTAGTAAAAATGGCATAACATGTAGGTCCAGTCAGACTGTCCTAATAAAGTTAGTTAACTATAACACCTCTGCGACTCAGCCACCAGGCCTAAAAGGTGCCGACCTCCAGCTTCAGTGCTGTCACCCTGTGGCTTTATTTTTGTAATCAGCTATGGGGCTTGTGGCATAAAGATCCCAAGCTAACTTCAAAAAACTTACATGAAGTTTCTAAATACAATTTATATATGGTGACTCTAAATGTTTAAAAACAGGAGACCCTAGAAACTATCTGGTTTACCTCAGCCCACAGGAGATGGCTCTCTAATGTTCCCTTATGTGTCATCTGTGGGGACTATTACACAAGCCACAATATTAGAAAGTTCCTCCCACTGCAAACAGGTTCTGTTTTCTTACAGGCTCTGTTGATGTAGATTAGCTGTCCTTACATACATCCATAAGCATTGGAGCTGTAAGTCCTTTCATGTGACTTTGGTTCTTTCAACTCTGTCTCCTCTGACATTTTTGGTTTTATCTGCCCCGGAGTAAGAGGATTCAAAAGGCACTCCAGATACTTTATTTTTGTTGTTGTTTTTCTATTTATTTATTTGAGAGAGGGTTTCCCTGTGTAGTCCTGACTGTCCTGGATCTAGCTCTGTAGACTTAGAAAACCACCTGCCTTTGCTTCCCTGAAGCCATGGGCCACGACACCCAGCCCAGATACTTTCTTTGTTAAAGACTTTTTCAGTTTATTAATTGTGTGTCAGTATGTGTTTGTATATGTGTGTGTGTGTGTGTGAGAGAGAGAGAGCGAGCGAGCAGAGCTGAGTGGGCACTGAGCACATGTGGAAGACAGGGTGCACATATGGAGGTCAGAGGACAACACTGTGGAGTTGGTCCTTTCCCTGACTTCACATGTGTTCTAGGGACCTAACACAGGTCGCCAAACTTGGGTGTCATACAGCAAGTGCATTGTTACCCATCTTGCTGGCTCTTAATGTTTTTTTTTCCTTTTTGGAGACAAGGTCTCACTATATACCCCTGGTTGGCCTCAAACTCACAGTGATCATACTAACTCTGCTTCCTGAGTGTTAGAATTAAAGGTGTGCGCCACCATGCACAGCCTTTGTGACCCTTGTATTTTATAAGCTACCATCGAACTAATTTTTCTTTTCATGATTAAAAAAAATTTTCATTTATATGTATGTATTTCATTTTATTTATGTATGTGTATCTGTGTGTAAGTAAGTATGTGTGTGTGTGGATACCTATTTTATGTATGTATGTGTATCTGTGTGTAAGTAAGTATGTGTGTGTGTGGATACCTATTTTATGTATGTATGTGTATCTGTGTGTAAGTATGTGTGTGTGTGGATACCTATTTTATGTATGTATGTGTACCTGTGTGTAAGTAAGTATGTGTGTGTGTGGATACCTATGATGGCCAAAAGGCACTGGGAACCCCCGGGGCTTAAGTTGCAGGCAGATCTATGGTGGGAACTGAACTCAGGTTGTCTGGAAGCGTAACAATCTTTCTTGACTACTGGGCCATCTCTCTAGAATGTTGCTATATAGCTCAGGTGTGGGAGCCCACAGAAGTTTCCTTGTGAGATCTGAGATCTGAGTTTGCCTGACACAGCAGAGCTGCATAAGGGGATGATGTGACCATGGGCAATGTTGCCAGGTGGTTGGAAGGGTCTGCACTTGGCTGTGCCTGGGAGAGGTTTTTTGCTCAGCCCCTTGGTATTCCTTTAAAAACCCTTTGACAGAGGCAATTAGAGCCCGATGGATAAGGACCTAGGTTCTCCCGAGGCTAGTCTATGTTTGTTTCTCTCTCTCTAGCTATATTTCTATCTAATATTTCCTGCTGCTTCTGCTCAAGAATACCCTATGGAAAAGTGGGGGTGAGATGGCCCCCCCCATCAGGAGCCTTTAATTAAAAAACTTCCTGCTTCAGCTTCAACAGTATTATGGCAATGGCATGTGTTACTGCCTGAACATCTGACTGCTCGGCATGTCTATGAGAATTTACATTCAATGCCGAAAGGTACTTCTTATTTTTTCTATTCCTAACATTAACTTCATCTTACATTATTTACAAATGTAAGACGATTTAGGAATATAGTCAATTCATTTCTTTATTCAAGTTAGTCATTAAAAATGCTGGAAATACAGGGACAAGGAAATAAGACAGCCTCATCCCCTAAGAAGTTCTTGGTACTAGATGTGCCCATGTTATAGGTCCAAATGCTTAACTCTTTTCTAGTAGTGTGTGTCCCTTCCAGGGCTACAGGGTTTCATGAATGGCTTTGTCAAATGCTCTGCTAAATTTACTTTTTCTTGGAACCAGTCAAGTTCCAGATACTGAGAGGAATAGGAAAGAAGAGCGGGAACATTCTTTTCTTTCTGTGATGGCTGATTGAGGCTATCAGCTTGACTTGGTGTACCAGTTAGTTTTTGTTAACTTGATACAAATTAGTGAGTCAACTGGGAGAAGGTAACCTCAACTAAGGAATTGCTTCCATCAGACTGGCCTGCGGTGTCTGCAGAAATCATATTCCTGATTTCTGGTTGATGTAGGAGGGTCTAGCCCATGGTGGGTAGTGCTGTACCTGGACAGGTGGTCCTAGGTTGTCTAAGGAAGGTAGCTGAGCAAGCCAGAGGAAGCAAGCCCATAGCAGCTTTCATCCACTTCCTCCATCTGCTCCTACTTGAATCCCCGTCCTGATTTCCCTCACTGATGGAGTGTGATGGGGTTGTGTGAGCCAAATACATCCTTTTCGCCCCAGGTTGCTTCTGGTCATGGTGCTTTATCAAATGAACAGAAACAAAACTAGGATACTTGGCTGGCAAACTGGTAACCATTTTTTTTTTCTCACGTTTCAGCTGAGCCTGTCCCACCACTATTGAAAGGAAAACCCAGGAGACTTTGTTTTTGATCAGACCAATTAACTGGGCCACCGTACTAGTGCTAGTAATGGTGGTTCTGGAAGAGCCTGGCATGTGAGTCAGAGGACTCAGTGGGCAAGACTCACTCTTAATGCAGACATGCCTTGAACAGAGCAAAAGGCAAAAGAGCTCCCTTTCCCTGAGACCTGGGACACTATTTTTCTCCTGTTCCTGGACTTCATGACTTGCACCAGCAGACCCTAGGTTCTTGTATGTCTAGCCCCAGACTGACAGATAGAACAATGGCTTCTCTGGTTCTCTAGCATGCAGATAGCTATAATCAAGTGAGCCAAGGCCTCCCATAAATATCTTTTCTTATCTCTATTTATGGTATCTGGTTCTAGGAGGTTCCTAATTAAAACAAGGGTTTGCATTTTTCTTTTTCTTAAAAGGACAATTTTATTAGAGTTTAAAAGAAAAACTCCAAAGAAGGCAAGCTGTAGATCTCAGCAGCTGTCCAGAGGAGGGAGATGGAGAAGAGGAATAGAGAAAGCCATGCCATGAGTCAGGCATGGAGGTCAGCCACATGGCAAAAACAAGGGGGGGGGGGGGGGATGCTCAGAGAAAGAATAAGGAAGCCCAAAGTATCAGAAAAAGCATACTTGTGCTCTGGCCTGCATCAAAAAGAAAAAGGAAAAGTTACACCTCAGAAAAAGGCAGAATCAACAGACCCTCACAGCAGCTGTGTGGCAACCATCAGTTTTAGCATCTTGAGACTTCTCCTTGGTTGCTGCCAAGGGAAGCAGACTACACTCTTCCGTGCCCACCTTTCCTTATTCTCTTGTTCCAGTCTACTCCCTTCTCTTCAATGAAGTCAGCCAGTATAGGTACCAGAAGAAGAGCAATGTGGATGACTTATTAGATTTCTATAAACCTGGCAAGATGTATCCAATCATCCAAGGACTTTAGTCCTAACCTTTTTGGTTTGTTTTGAGACAGCGTTTCTCTGTGTAGTCTTGGCTGTCTGGTTCTCAATCTGTAAACCAGGCTGGCCTTGAACTCATAGAGATCTGCCTGCCTCTGGTTCTAGAGTGTGGGGACTAAAGGGATTCATCACCACTGCTTGGCTTCCTAATCATTTTCTTTTCTTTTCTTTTTGGTTCTTTGAGACAGGGTTTCTCTGTGTAACAGCCTTGGCTGTCCTGGAATTCAGAGATTTGTCTGACTCTGCCTCCCAAGTGCTGGGATTATAGACTCGCACCACCACCACCCAGCTCCTAATCATTTTCTAACTTAAACAAATTCAAGGAATGTAATATTAGTATGTAGAACTCTGGCCCTTTAACCATGAAAAACGATTTTAACAGAAAAATACTATCCACAGGCCAGTGCTGGCTAAGTGTTGGGTCAGTTCTTTGAAACTGCTCAAAACCATTCAGAAATAATGACAAAAAGTCTGGAGAATGGGAAGTAATGCAGAGGATTCTAATTTCCTTTTCTCAGTTTGCCATCCAGCTTATAGGCTGAGGCAACCCTCCAATGATCACAGTCCATAACACTACAGTGGGATAGCTTCTAATTTAATTTATCCTCCTGAATACATTCCTTTCCAGGAGACCATCATGTGTGTGTGTGTGTGTGTGTGTGTGTGTGTGTGTGTGTGTGTGTGTGTGTGTGTGTGTATGTAATGTGTATATATGCATATATTATATGTGTGTGCACATACATATAATATATACATTACATAAATAATTAAAGTATATATGATATACTAATATTTATTTTTAATAAATTTATTTTAATATATTTGTTATACACACATATAAACTTTTATATAGGGCTCTCTATGTAGCCCTGGTGGCTTGGGAACTTGCTTATAGACCAGGCTAGACTTGAACTCACATAGATCTGTCAGCCTCTGCTGGGATTAGCCATCACACTCGGCTGTTTATAGGTTTTTGAAGGCTAAATCTCTATTAAAGAAAGCTTTAAGATTATGTTTCAAATACTGATTTTCCCCTGCTTCATTCTTGGCTACTGACAGCTTAATCATGTTACACTTGTTTTAAACAGTTGGCTCAAACATGGAACTTACTTTTATGTTTGGGGTAGATAACATCAAAACCAGGCAGGGGCATCACCACATCATGAATGGAGTAATTATTAACATCCTCTTCCTCAATGTAGGTGGCTGTGGCTGCAAAATCCCACAAGTAAATATCAGGTTAAGAAAAAGCATTGTTGGGGACTGGAGAGATGGCTCAGCGGTAAAGAGCATTGACTGCTCTTCCAGAGGTCATGAGTTCAGTTCCCAGTACCCACATGGCAGCTAACAACTGTCTGTAACTACAAGATCTGACACCCTCACACAGACATGCATACAGGCAGAACACCAATGCACATAAAATAAAAATAAGTAAGTTACTAAAAAAAAAAAAAAAAAAAAAAAAAAAGAAGGGGCTGGAGAGATGGCTCAGAGGTTAAGAGCACTGACTGTTCTTCCAGAGGTCCTGAGTTCAATTCCCAGCAACCACATGGTGGCTCATAACCATCTGTAATGAGATCTGGTGCCCTCTTCTGGCCTGCAGTCATACATGCTGTATAAATAATAAATAAATAAATCTTAAAAAAAAAAAAAAGAAAAAAAGAAAAAGCATTGTCATGAATTCAGGCTCGTAAGATTTTATATTTCTCAGTGAGTTGAAAGAACAAGATGTCCAGGTGCAAAGGCCCAGGAATCTTAGAATCCCTCCTTTTCTAATTAGCTGGAACCCTGAGCAGGTGCTAAATCTTGCACAAACCAGAATACTTACCAGTAGTACTGCAACAGAGCAATGCAGGCAAAGTGTCTAGTGTAAGACTGGAAACACAGTAAACATTTCATAGGACAGAATATTAGCATTTCTTTATTTTAAAATTATTTTATTATTTTGTGTGTATGGATGTTTTGCCTGCATGTATGTCTGTGCACCATGTGTGGGCAGTATCCCCAGAGGCCAGAAAAGGGTGTTGGATCCCCTGGAAATGCAGTTATAGACAGTTGTGAGCCACCATGTAAGTGCTGGGGATCGAACCTGGCTCCTCTGGAAGAACAGCTAGTGCTCTTTACAACTGAGTCATAGCTTTAGACCCACATTAACATTTCTTACGCTAACGTTTCAGACCATTTGATTATGTTCAGTAAAGTCAGCTCTGGTCTGGTGCTCTCCTGAAGAATCTCTTTAAAACTGCCTGATGACACAATGAAACGCTGAGACACATCCATAAATATAGATATTTTGAAGACCCATATTAACAATTGTAAAGGACTTTTAGCCAATACTGGCCCACAGTTTATTCTGCTACACTAGCTGGAGGCCCAGAATGGAGGCCCAGACTTAGCTGCTTACCCAAAACACATACTTTTTTTTTATTGGTGATAAAAACTATCAGCCTGAGTTCATGTGGCCTTTCCATCTCCCACTTACTACACATCTCTTTCTTAACTAGTAGCCATGCTGGATTTCTAAAACACTGCTATAAAATATCTGAGTCCTAATCTGGCTGAATGACAATGACCATTTTACCTCCTTTGAGAACAAGGTCCCCTGGGACAGGTTTCAGCCCGTAGTCTTCTATCCTTTTGCTCACCATGTTATTCCACACATAGCTTTGATAACTATGGATATACATTAAGCGATTATTTCTTGGTATCTGCAGAGAAGGGAGAAGTAGGTAAAGAAACAATTCTGAACATTTAAAGTGCCATTTTCCCAGATATTTTGCTCATTTAATGGTAATCCTAACACAAGAAACTCAGACTTCAAATCTGATTGTGGGGCTGGGATGCAGCTCGGTAGGAAGGTACTTCAAAGTGTCCTGTATTATACACACACATAGACTATGCTTGCCAATATGGTGTCCTTGATTAAAAACACACTAACAGGCAACTACTTAGCTACTTCCTGTTGAACTCTCTTCCTTAGGTAGTTTAAAGCTCCAATGAAGATGATGACCGAGAAATGACTGGACGATGGGGGTCAGACCAACGGCTCAGCAGGCAAAGGCACTTGTGCCAAGCCTGACTACCTGAGTTTGATCTCTGGGGACAGACATAACATAAAGAGAGAATGAACTCTCAAATGTCCTGATCCCTACCTGTGTGCTCAAGTACATGCATAGACACAAACACAAAATAAATTTTAAAAGAAGCGACTGTACATTGGCTTCTAAATTGGTCAAATCCCATTCAATTATATTAAATTCAATTGACAATTATATTTTCCATAGATACTTTCTTGAACCTCCAATGTTAATAAACACCACCAGCATTTCTCACACATCATCTTTCAGGGTCAGAATGAGGCATACTCAAGTAAATTCCTTTTAAGACTACTAAAGGATTCTTATTTGCTGTTGTTTCAAAAATTTTTCAGTTCATTTTTAAAAAGCATTAGCCACCTTGAGTCAGTTCCTGATTCACAAATTGCACTCACTATGCCAAATGCAGAGACTATATTCTTCATTCCATATTTTGAAAGTCCTCGAAGCAGCTGACCTTCCACACACCTTTTGACAGGTAGTTTTTTGAGGGCAGAGGCTGGATCTTTGGTCTTGGCCCATTCTTCTCTGCATTTCACCAAGTACCCCTTTTCAGCTGTAGGAACAGAAAAGCTACCATCAAACTTGTCCAACAGAAAAATGTGCATCACTTAACATGATTCATAGGGAACATAAAACTGGGAAAACATTCATGTGTAATAAAGAAGCTCACAGTCGCTCAAAAGCAAAAACATGGAACCCCCAAAGAGATTACTTCTCTTTGGCTCTGTAAACAGCAAGAGCTACTGTTCACCATCACCTCAGCTAAGGAGGTTTCACCTTCTCTTTGCCCCGTACTGTTTGCTTTAAAATGAAAAAGTTTTTTTTTTTTTTAGCTCAAATATGAACAGTTACCTAAAGTGAGTATAAATATAAATTTGACAATTTATAAACTATCAGTTAAATCCCCTTTTTACAGTATAGTTTTAGAGATATTTCCTGGAAAAAATTTAGTCATTATACTATGCTTTAGAAAAATGATCATACATATAAGTTTCCTATAAATTCAGAGAATTTGTAGTAACTGAAGAGAAATAAACTTATATTTAAACTTGCATGAATAAATTGGATGAATAAGGAGCAAGAATATAAAAGAAAAACCAAAACAAGAACTTTAAAACAACAACCTGCAGTTACTTTTACTTAAAGTGTTTCCATGAATATCTAGCTATACACCCTATGCATTTTATTTTAACACAAATTTTTTTCTCACCTCCAGAACGGGGCTTCAGTATTAAATCCATGACTTCTGTCCAGGAATTCTGCAGAATAGCTCTAGAATTAAAACAGTATTTACTTACTTAACCTTGCATAAGATAAGCTTTGTATGCTCAACTGTTGAGAAGGCAAGAAGAAACACTTATGAATTCACTAAATTTAAAAAGTATGTAGGAAAACTATGACACAGACTTCCGTGACCACTATCTGCCATAGAAAGCGTCTCTGAGGCTAGAAGGATGGTTCATTTACTAAGAGTGAGTAGTGCTCTTGCAGAGGACCTGAGTTTGGTTCCCAGCAACTCACAGCTGCCTGTAACTCCAGTGGATCTGCTGCCCTCTTCTGGCCTCTATGTGCATTATATTCAACATGCACAAACCCACAAGCAGATATACACTCTGCAGAAGACCTGGATTCAGTTTCTGAATGCCCAGTCATAAATGGGACATTATTTCATCTCCTCCAAAGAGCAGGGGCACCAGAAGAAAAGGGAGTGGAAAGAATGTAGAAGCTGGAGGATGGAGTGGGGAAGGAGCTGACTTCTGAGTATCACATGACTATTGCACTTTGAACTCACAGCAGCTGTGACTACTCACACAAGATTCCCAGAAAACTGGTCCTGTTAATACCCTGTCATAGAACGGAGGGCACATTTTCTTCAGTGATAAGTTGTCCATGCTTCTGTAAACAACTCTAATGGACCTCAATGGGACACATTTAGAATACATGTAAGTAAATGTGGAGAAAGCTGGGAAGAAGCAGGCAATTAGAGTGGGGAGGGGGGAACAATATGATTGAATATATACATATGAAAATAATGAAAACAATTAGAGTATGTAATTAATATATGCCAAGAAAAAACATTAAAAAAAGTTTGGATTGTCCCTTTGCTATGAGGTGTAAGAGTTTTTCATTTGTTTTTATATATTCTGGATCCATCTTCTGTTTAATTATATATTGAGATTTGGCATTTCCCCTTAGGAAACCTTATAGTGATACAGTAAATTCTATGAAGGTAGGGAATAGTCTGACATTGTGAAAATAAATTGTTTGGAACTCTGAACTAACTTGTATTGGTCTTTGGGCATATTATGCAACTTCTCTTTCTGAGTAAATCTGACACCACTTTACTGAGCAATTATTTGCAGTAATTTTCTTTGGGATACAAAACTATAGGGTAACATGGCTGTGCTTCTGCTAAGTTAATTAAAAATACATAGGCTGATAGAAACCTTCCTTAAATGTTCTGTGCCACAACAATCAGCATCTATATTATGCTAATCCGTATTTTCTATTGGTTACTGTAGTGGCTTTTCCTTCATCAGTGATGGTCTAGTCTAGGGCTTCATGTATGGAAGGTAAACACTCTATTAGCTGAGCCACATTCTAGCCCTAAACTTTCCTCTTGTTCTTGTTCTAAATTAGCAGATCATTCTATGCTGCTGGCCTGGTCTTTCACAGTCCTAATCAGCTGCCCAGGACTGGACTCCACTGTGCCTGTCTGGCCTTAATTTAGAAAGATTTCTATTTATTAATTACTTAGTATATTTTAAGCATAGAAATAGGTGCTGCATAAACACCATCTTCATTCTCAGCCTTCTGTGAAGTTGGTATTAGTTCCACTTTACAGAGGAGTAGTTTGAGGCTCAGAACTCAAGCCTCACTTTACAATACTGCCTGAGAGAGGCACAGGAGCTGCCACACAGCAGACCAATCCCTCGGTCCTTGTAAAATCATATAAGCAAATACAACTTGATACTGAAAAGCTGGATGAGAGAAAACTCTTGTGTCAACTATTTAATTAGTGTGCTTGGGAGCCCTCCTGAAGCGCAACCTCTGTACTTGCTGAAACAGAAGGAAGAACAAGTGTTCTTAGATAGCATTCAGTGAAGCTACCATCACTCTAACTTCCATATAATTAGTTACTTTATGTGGCAATCCCTTCTGGACAGCTGGATTCCCAAAGTATGTTTACAAAACCAATCTCATTTATTGGTGAGACCTACTGTAATAATTTTTACTCTGGAGGGCTTTCCAATTACCTAAGTGTGAACCAAGCTCTTAAATTCTACATTACTAATGGTATCTTCTAGGGTTTTCTTGAAAGGGTGGGGGCAGGGCAGATGAAAAATTAATCAACTGGAACTTGTGTGTTGAGAGATCATAGTGTGCATGCCTTGGGTCTGGGTACTCTGGGCCTGTGTTACCCAGCTTTTTATGGCTGGCCACTTACCTGCTGAAAAGTAAAAGAGATGCCAGGAGTGGTGGCGCACTCCTTTAGTCCCAGCACTTAGGAGGCAGAGGCAAGCTGATCTCTGAGTTTGAGGTCAGTCTGGTATACAGAGTGAGTTCTAGGACAGCAGGGACTACACAGAGAAACCCAGTCTCAAAAAATCAAAAAGAAAAACAAACAACTCCCCCCCAAAAAAACCTAAAAGAGACCCTTCCCAGAAGGGCAGTGAGGAATGGGAGGTTAAATTTAATATTTAGGTCACATCTTCAACTGTGTGTTATATATGTGTTATATACGTGCCTCTAGAGGCTAGAGACCTTCCTCAGTGGCTCTCCACCTTATTTTTTCAGACCATTTTTCACTGACTAGGCTAGTCTCATTGGCCAGAGAGATCGAGGGATCCACTTGTCTCTACCTGTGTGTTCTATCACACCCGCTTCTGTGCAGTGCTGGGGATCTGAACCTACGACCTCATGCTTGTGTAGTAAGCACTTTACTGAGTTGCCTGTCTCTCCAGACCTCATTTCTTTCTTTCTTCCTCTTTTTTTTTTTTAAAGAAAACACACTGTTACACTGTTGTGTGCATTAACTGAAATAGAATAAATCTTACAAAGAGCCTATGGATCAGCTGTTCATTTGCCCTAAACATGACAGAATCCTGAAAGAATCAACATACCATTAACAAAAATTTTATTTCTTTTATGAGAGGTATCCTTTAGATAGAAATTACAAAATTAAATACAAACCTTTCAATTAACAAAAACTTTTTGAGTCGTCTTCTATATAAATCATCAAAGTACTCCATAGGCAGAGGCAGGCAGACAGATCTCTGTAAGTTCAAGGCCAGCCTGGTCTACACAGTGAGTTCCAAGACACCCAGAGCTACATACTGAGATAATGTCTCAAAAAACAAGACAAAACAAAACAAAACAAAACAAAACTCCAAAAAATAAAAAGATAAAAGTTAGAAAATCAAATACATACCTTCCAACTTGGTACGTAGGGACAGCTGTGGTCCCAAATCTTTGCATGCCATAGTAGTTAATGAAGCCAGTCTCCTTCAGAGATTGCATGGCCTGCTGTACTTGCTCATCAGTTCCTGTTATATTCCTGCAAGGACCCAAATTATTCAGAGGAAAAAAATAGACAGTCAAACTCATTTTATGATGCACACCTAACAGTGGCTTCTGTATCTTACCTTTGCAATCTTTTCTATGCCTCCTGAGGACTCTGCTGATTTGTTAATCAGCTTTTTTTTTTTTTTTTGAGATAGGGTCTCTCAGTGTAGTCCTGGCTGTCCTGAAACTTGTGTTGTCGACCAGACTGGCCTTGAACTCAGAGAAATTCCCCTGCCCCTGTGCATGAACCACCACTGACCAGCTCATTTTAATCAGTTTTTTTTTTTTTTTTGGTTTTTCGAGACAGGGTTTCTCTGTGCAGCTTTGCGCCTTTCCTGGGACTCACTTGGTAGCCCAGGCTGGCCTCGAACTCACAGAGATCCGCCTGGCTCTGCCTCCCGAGTGCTGGGATTAAAGGCGTGCGCCACCACCGCCCGGCCCATTTTAATCAGTTTTAAGTGCAAATTATTGTAAGATGGAGCACATGTGCAATGTGGTGCGGCTTCTCGCACTATGTAGTCCCCAAACTTGTCCACTTCCCCCAATGAAATGTATTTATTATTCTGCATGTCTTGCTATATAGCCCCTGGCCAGTCTGCAAACCATGTAATCCAGGTTTACCTTGAAGGAGTCATGTGATCTTCTGCCTTTGCCTCTGAGTCTGGGATTACAGGCATATGCAACTATGCTTGATCCCAAACTGAAACTTATGCCAACAAATAACTCTCTCCCAAAGTAACCTAATCTTTCTCTGAATGTGTCCATTCTAGGCACCTCATAAGAATTAGGCTGGGCGGTGGTGGTGCACACCTTTAATCCCAGCACTCAGGAGGCAGAGCCAGGTGGATCTTTGTGAGTTCAAGGCCAGCCTGGTCTACAAAGTGAGTTCCAGGAAAGGCACAAAACTACACAGAGAAACCCTGTCTTGGAAAACGGGGGGGTGGGGGGGTGGGGGTGGTGGTGGTGGGGGGGGGGTGGTGGTGGTGGTGGTGGTGGTGGTGGTGGGGGGTGGGGTGGGGTGGGGGTGGGGGTGTATGATTAAATCACAGGCTCTTTATCTTTCAAAACTGGATCTGAAGAACAGTGTTTCTGAAGGCTATAGGAAGCTTTTGAGGGAGGGATAAAGACCATTTATCAGGAGAAATGCTACACAGTATTTGTTCCCCGCTCCTACAGTCCTTGTTCTCCCAGCCAGCCCTTCCATCTATACCAGCTATCCTCTACCCTATCAACACATATAGAAACAGACCATGGAGACCCAGATAGACAGCCCCAGGTCTCCTATCTGTACTCCTACCTGCAGTACTTTACCTGAGAACAACAGTGAAGTGATTTCCTTGAAGCTCTCCCAATTTCAGAGGAGTTTTCTGATAGCTGAAATTACCCAACTTGAAGTTCATCAAGCACTTATTCAGGTGGGCGAGTCTTTGTGCACTTATTCTTTAAAGAAAACAGGAGCAGAGAAAGGATCGTGAGATCCTGCAGAAAACAAGGGCACACCAAGGCTGTGACCATTAGAAAGACTGCAGAAGGTAACAAGGTGCACTTGTCCTTCCCCCTTGAATTACTCTTGTGCATAACAGTACTGGAACAATGGGGCTTAAACACCAATGGAAACATAAGATGTACAGGATGCTACTTTCTGTGCACAGAGGGTAACAAAGGGGATGGTGGCAGACAGCAATCCCACAGGACTGTAGAGAGTGGTCTCTAACATTTAAGAAAAGATTAGCCATAATTGGGCCAGTAAGAAAAATATTGTAAACTCATAACTAAAAGACAACCTTAGAAAACACAAAAATAATAAGAAAGAAAATTAATTGGTTCATCCCTTGAAAAAAGTATTAGGTCTCTGTATTTCCTCATTCTTTTAAAAAACACATTGAAGATGTGTATAGCTAGAATCATACAAACCTGTGTCCTGCTATCATTGTACACAAGTGTTCCCATGCTGTTACGATTGTTTCATTAGAAAGTGTTTGTCTTCCTCAACAGGAAATCTATGTAGAAAAGCAAATACTATACTGAAAAGTCTTTGCTCTTTCTTTATCCCCATAACTCTCCCCACTTGCAGTTGATGTTAACACTTTCTTTCTTTTTAAATATTTATTTTTAATTATGTGTAAGTGTGTTTGTATGTGTAAATAAATGCAGGTACTCCTGAGGGCAGAGTCATTGGATCTCCCTAGAGCCAGAGTTACAGGAGATCAAAAATTACCCAATGTGGGTGCTGGCAATCAAACTCAGGTCCACTGCAAGAGCAGTATACATTCTTTACTGCTGAACTGTCTCTCTAGCCTCTTGGCCTGGAAAGTTTTGAAGTAAGATTGAGATTAATACAACTCTCTCAAGAAAAGATGTTCATTTCAGAAGGTTTCATGTTAAGGGGCTGTTCTTGATATATTAAAATTTTGAAAATGCTCATTTTTATTTTTATTTTGAAAATATATAAGGGAGGCTGGAGTGATGGTTCAGCATGTAAGAGCACTTGCTGTTCTTACAGAGGACCTGGGTTTGATTCCCAGCATCCACATGGTGTTTTATAACCACCTGTAACTCTCATTCTATATCTGAAGCTCTCTTCTGACATCCACAGGCACCAAACCTGCACATGGTGCATATGTAGGCAAAATACTCATACATAAAACAAGATGAATCTAAGCAAACAAATAAACAAAACCCCCCAAAATCCTGTAAAGGCCATAGAGAGGCCATCCTGGTCTATACAGCCAGTCCTGGTCAGCCAAGGTTACATAGTGAGATCCTCCCTAAAGACAAATAAACAACATCCAAAACCAAAAAGATACTTTCCAAAGTACAATATAAAGATCAAAGGTACTTGCCAGTGTTCTCACCCCCACCCCCCAATGCCAGTCACTTTATATTTTCACCTTGAATGCTTCCATATGTATCTTTGGATTTTCTTGAATACAAGATGAACTTTAGGTCCCTTTTTTCTACCATCTGGGCTCCAAGAATCCAATTTATTTATTTAACTATTAATTGTCTTTAAGATTCTCTCTAATTTGGGTCATGAACTAGTTGTTTTCAATTTTCAATTATTAGAAACAATGCCATGGGCTGGAGAGATGGCTCAGCGGTTAAGTGGTTAAGATGGCTGCTCTTCCAGAGGTCCAGAGTTCAATTCCCAGCAACCTCACGGTGGCTCACAACCATCTACAATGAGACCTGGTGCAGCAGACAGAACATTGTATACATAATAAATCTAAAAAAAAAAAAAAAAAAGAAAGAAAGAAAGAAAGAAAAAAGAAACAATGCCACATAACACATCACGGTGCCTAAGAATATGGTTTTAATTTTTCCTATGTCCATGTTTCCTTTGAAAAGACAGCTACTTTGTCCTGTAGCAAAGGCAAGGTGTTGAGGTTGGCTTGAGTCTGCCAGTGGCTTCCAGTATATTTACGTTTATGTGTACATATTGTATATTTATGTGTACATGTGTGTACATGTGTATATTTATGTCTATGAATATAGGGCTGGGGAGGTCTAGGTGTGGACCTCAGCAACTGAGAGGCTGAATTCTGTCCCAAAGTTCTAAATCATGGAACTGTTCTACAGGCCTCTCAAGTCCTATCACATGGGGAAAACTAATTGGGCAATCTTGGTCTACACACACACACACACACACACACACACACACACACACACACACACACAAAGTGAAGCTATGTAAATTTATAGAATTCACCTATATAGAGCCAGAGACACAGCTCAGCAATTAAGAGCACTTGTTGCTCTTCCACAACCTGAGTTTGTTTCTCAGTACCCACACTAGGCTGCAACTCTCTGGGCAGTGGTGGCGCACGCCTTTAATCCCAGCACTCAGGAGGCAGAGCGAGGAGGATCTTTGTGAGTTCAAGGCCAGTCTTGTCTACAGAGTGAGATCCAGGACAGGCACCAAAACTACACGGAGATACTCTGTCTCAAAAAACAAAAAAAACCCCTATGGTGATTTTTTTTTTTTTTTTTTTTTTTTTTTGGTTTTTTCGAGACAGGGTTTCTCTGTGTAGCTTTGCGCCTTTCCTGGAACTCGCTTTGGAGACCAGGCTGGCCTCGAACTCACAGAGATCCGCCTGGCTCTGCCTCCCGAGTGCTGGGATTAAAGGCGTGCGCCGCCGCCGCCGCCGCCGCCGCCGCCGCCGCCGCCGCCGCCGCCGCCGCCGCCGCCGCCGCCGCCGCCGCCGCCGCCACCACCACCACCGCCCGGCCCTATGGTGAGATTTTATTTGTACTGAAATGTGATTTTATTTGTAGCCATAGCAGAAGCTGGGCGGTGGTGGCACACACCTTTAATCCCAGCACTTGGGAAGCAGAGCTAGGCAGATCTCTGTGTGTTCAAAGATACAGCCAGCATGGGGACACACGCCTTTAATCTCAATACCAACCATAGAAGACCTGGAGGTCTGTACAGACAGGCAGTGACGAGGAGGTCATGCGGTTGGGTTTACAACCAATGAGAAGGCAGAACAGAAAGTCAATGAAAAGGACAAACACACAGGAAGTAGGTCTCTTGCTGAGAGGAGAGATAGCAGCGGCAGTGAAGGGTAAGAAAGGGTTTTTAGCTCTTAGCTATTGCTCTGACCTCTTGGGCTTTTAACTCTGCAATTGGTTCTGTGTTTCTTATTTAATAAGATGGTTACATCTACAAACCTCCAAAACCAAAAAAACCCTTCTAGCTCTAGGGAATCTGACGCCATCTTCTGGCCTCTGAAGGTATCCCCACACAGGCACACACACAATTAAAAATAAAACTTTATTTCACCTTGGGCTAGAGAGATGGCTCAATGGTTAAGAGCACTTGTTTGATGCTCTTAACCATTGTAGAGGACTCAGGTTTGATTCTCAACACCCACATAGTGGCTCAAAACCATCCATAACTTCAGTTCCAGAAGATTTGACCCCTCTTCTGACTTCCACAGGTACCAGGTATGCATATAGTGCACATACACAGAAGCTGATAAAACATTCATGCACATAAAAATAAAACACATTTTTTTTTAAAAAAAAATCACCTATATAACATCTGAGTTCCTGGAATTCTTTTTATTTCATTGCTGGGAATTGAGCTACGGCTTCATACATGCCAGACAAGCATTCTACCCTTAAGCTGTTCTTAGCTCTCCTGAAATTCTTTTCTTTTTCTTTTTCTTTTTCGAGACAGGGTTTCTTTGTGTAACAGCCCTGGCTGTCGTGGAACTCGCTCTGTAGACCAGGCTGGTCTTGAACTCACAGAGATCCCTCTGCCTTTGCTTCGTAGTACTGGGATTAAAGGCATGTGCTACCACCATCCTGCTCTCCTGAAATTCTTAATACTCTCTGAAGACAACCAACCCCTTGATGTACTCGACATCAGCCTGTTTATTTCATTTCATTTGTAAGGAAGCAGAATGACAAGCTTTTCATTGCTTAACACCCTCTTCCACTTTTGGTTAGTGCTGGGTACTAACCCCAGGGCTTCACACCTCCAGCCTTACTAAGTTAAAAAAAAAAAAAGTTGCCACTCCATTAATAGAAAAGGTAGAAGACAGCCATCAAAGTCAGGAAATTAATAAAACTTGTACACCCAGTTCTCCTATTTCCTGTGCCTGCATAGGACCTCATATAAACCAGGGCCACCTCAAGCAGGGGAGCAGGTGTGTTCCAGCAGCTAAGTCACAGCAGGCCCAGCAGAAAAAGGCCCTTGAATTGAGATGTAGAGGGAGAATGTTGAAAGTCAAAGGCATATATCACAAAGACTCCAAAAAAGCACATGGTCAGCATAAGTAGTGAGGACCAGCCGATGGAGCTCTTTAGTCAGTAGACACTCCTAGAGAAAGTGACAGTATTTCAGAGACAGGAGCAAAATAAAAAGTAAAATAAAAGTAAGCAAAAGCAAAAGACAGGAGCAAAAAAGAACTAAGTTGTCAGCCTGGCTGACCTGGCGACCTCTGGAGACTGCTTCTTGTTAGTGCCAGAAAAGAGCCTGACTTTTCTGTCCTTTTCTGTCTCTCTCCTTCCTTCCTTCCTTCCTTCCTTCCTTCCTTCCTTCCTTCCTTCCTTCCTTCCTTCCTTCCCTCCCTCCCTCCCTCCCTCCCTCCCTCCCTCCCTCCCTCCCTCCCTCCCTCCCTCCCTCCCTCCCTCCCTCCCTCCCTTCCTTCCTTCCTTCCTTCCTTCCTTCCTTGCTGGTCTCATAGAAATCTGACTGCCTTGCCTCCCGAGCATGTGTTCCTGTGTGTGTGTGTGTGTGTGTGTATGCTGGGGGGAAGAGGGGAAAGATTAAAGGTGAGTGCCAGGCCTTCTCCTTCTTTAAAAACATAAAATTCATCATTTTATCTGTTTTCAGGGTTTTTAGTATATACTTACAATGTGTGCAGTGTGTCTCCATCACCTGAAAAAAGAAACCTCATCCACTCAGCACTGACTCCATGTCCTCTAGCCTTCCCTGTAGTCCCTGTAATTTTACTGTACTTTTTGTTTACATATTTCCCCATTTTGAACATTTCATGTAAATAAAAAAGAAATCAAATAGTGATTTTTTTTAATGCCCAACTACTTAGTGTAATTTTTCTTTTCTTTTTTTTAATGTCAGGGTCTCCCTGTGTAGCCCAGATTGGCTTCAAATTTGCTATTCTCCTGTTTCAATCTATAGAGTGTTAGGATTACTGGCCTGTGCCAGTATGCCCAACAATGCAACACTCTTAAGGCTTATTATGCTAAGATATACTGGTATTTCACTTTTTTTATATTGAATAATCTCTTCCCTGAATACACAATGGATAGCCATTTCTGCATCCATCCAGCAAAAGCCCAGAGCTACATTTAGTTCTTGAAGGTGAAGGTGCTCATTGGCAATACTGTTCACCAATTTTGATGACTGCAGATCAAGTACTTTTGGTTGTAAATTCATGTGACAATCTTGTTTTTAAGCAATAAGGGCCAACAAACCAACCTGCTACACAGAAGCCTTTAAAAACAAAGTCAGAGAAATCCTGGCCCAAGCTCAGACAGGAGACTGGCAGGAACAGGCAGGAAAAGAAGCAAGTCCTTCTGAATGAGACAGTTTGGGATCCTGTTGAAATGACCAAGTAGCTCAGAGTTGCAAGAAGCTGAACAGAAATGCTGCTTATCCCAGGACTGATCAACCCAGCAATAATTAAAATCCCTGTGTGGCAGAATGGATTTATCCTGTCCACCAATTCTCACAGGAAAGGCCAATCTGCCTACCACACGGATCCATTAAGCAAACGAAGGGTGTAGTCTGTATCCAAGAGGTAAGTGCAAAGTGCTTTCAAAAGGGCAGCATTGAGATGGTCTGCTGCAGTTCCTCAAAGTCAACAGGAAAATGAGAACAAGGTCTGAGGGCAGAGCAGTATCCTGGTCAAGCCTGACCCCTGCTGGCTGATGAAGTGCCTCAGGTTTTAAATTATGTTTTTAACCCAAAATGTTTTTAACCCTCAAATTAGCACACACACCCCAAGTTCAAAACAAAGCAACATCTTCACACCCCCCCAGTAAACGTGATGGAGAGGTACCCTATGACAATGTGCCACTGCCTCAGGCCAAGGAAGAGAAGGACTGGAATTCAGCCAGTTGTAACATGGTCCTCAACATAAGCTGTGTGTCCTTCAGCATCTGTATCCTGCCCTCCTCAGCCACTCTCTTTCCTTGCCTTCCTTTTCCCTTTCTCCTTTCCTCCCTCTCCTCCTTCCTTAATAAGTCTTAATCTACTTTTATTGTGTTTGTCCTGTCTTTTTCCCTTTTTAAGTTTAGCATACAAAGTGATTGAGTTTCCTTATATCATTTTCATACATATGTATTGTTTTATTTTGTTTTCATTCATCCCTTCCACCTTCTCTCCTGCCCCATTCTTGATGATTCCAAATCTTCTCAAAAACAGTCCCCATCAAAAAACAAAACCAAAAACAGTCCCCATCTTTTGCCATACATATTCCTTTACACTCTTTTTTTCTCTCTTCCCTCTTGAGATCTCTTCTTCCCCTCCCATGACACCCCCCCACCACCACCAATACACTTAAAACCGAGTCTGCATATGGGGGAGGGGTGTAGTACTTGTCTTTCTGAGTCTCAGTGGTTTTGCTTAACCTAATGCTCTTCTGTAGTATCTATTTACCAAAAAAAATAACAAATGCCCCAGAAATTTGTCTTTCTTATATGGATGTTATGCTATCTCTTCTGTATGATTCCAATTTCAGCATATATGCCGCTGAAGTGAGTACAAAGAAAGCTTTATTTCTTGCTACATGCCCACAAAACTGCTTACCAGGTAGTAAATGTGTTGTGTTTCATAAGTCCTTCTAATATCTCCATAAGCTATTTCATTGGTTTGGAAATAACAACTTAAGTCCTCCCAGGCCGCAAGAAACATTTCATCCTTCTAGAATCAAGGCCATTAGTTCTCTACCAGAGGCAACACTGCCCTGGTACATCTGACAAGTCTGGAGATGGTTTTAATTTTCACAACTGTATGAGCAGCAGGGACTTATTACGAGCTTGTTGTATGGAAAGGACAGGGATCAGGGAGGCTGCTAAATATCTTATAATGAACAGGACCAGTTACCACAACAGAGACTTTCCCAGGTGAAAAAGCACATAGTGCAGAGATGAGATGCCCTCATTTATATTAAAACCATAGCATCCTATTATCTGTTCTAACTTTCCCTGACTGCCTTTATAGTAAGTCCCAGGTTTACAGTCAAGACTCACTAAGGCATACCCCTAGTTCAGTTCTCATCTCACTCTAGCAGGGTTCTACTTATCTGTCTGTCCTGTTCTATTACTTTTTCAAAAGCAGAGACCATCTTTTTCATCTGCATGTCTGTTATAAACAAAATATCTTATTCACTGTTTTGTACGTGAATATTAAAGAATACATGTTGATATTTAATAAACAAGAGAGAAAGGTGCACTTATTCTCTCTTTTTTAAATGTGCACTAGTGTTTTGCTTGCATGTATGTCTGTGTGAGGATGTCAGGTCCCCTGGAACTGGAGTTACAGACAGTTGTGAGTTGCCATGTGAGTGCTGGGAATTGAATCCAGGTTCTCTGGAACAGAAGCCAGTGCTCTTAATCACTGAGCCATCTCTCCAGCCCCAGCGCACTTATTCTTTTGGCTATATCACAAACAGCTTTTTAAAATTACTCAGAAAATACACGTTTGAAAAGATTAAGAAACAGAGATTCATGGTGAAAAAATGAAGTAGAAAAATAATATTTACAAAAATGTAGAAGCTGGGCTGGCAAGATGACTCAGCAGAAAGAGGCATCTGCTGCCAGCCTGAGTCCAGTCCAAGGGACCCACACAGTGTAGGAGAGAACTTACTGTCTCCATTTGTACTTTGACCTCCACTAACGTGCTGTGGTGTGTGTATAGATATGTACATACACACACATACAAAATAATACATAAATAAATAAATGCAATAAAGATGTCTAAAAAATTTTTAAGGCAGAGACATCGTATACAATTGAAAGCAGTAAATTTTGTAAAGCAAGCCTGAGGCTCTGAAGGTGTGCGAGGACCTCTGCAGTGTCAATCTGGGGAGGAGCTCTACTTACTTGAGGACAGCAATCTCCTGCACTGTGATGGCCCTTTTGTCTTTGGTTCCCATATATGAGAATATGTTTGGTTTTACCCTGGTGAGACAGAAACAAAGTATTCTGAAATTAACATACGTTAACCAAAGCACATTCCTAATAACTTGTTTCAAAATACATGTACTAACATACTAGGAGAATAAGGAGAAACTTTAATTAAGATTTTATTGAGGAAAATTTAAATGAACATGCAAATTAAAGCAGCAAAAGCTGCCTTCTTAGCAGGGCTTGATTTCAAGCCTTGGTGGCTGTCAAGGAATCACTTGGTTTTCAGACTTGGCTAACCAGTAACAAAAAACAAAAGCTACACACTTCTACAGTCAGAAACAATTTGTTAAGTTACATAAAACTGTGACAATAAATGGGAAAATATTCTAGAGATACAATGTAGCGCTCTGAACATTTCCTATCTTTAGTTTTCAAGAAGTCACAGTAATGTGATTTTGACCTTAAATATATCTATAACTCTGCATTAAAAAAAAAAAAAGCCAAATGCTAAAACAGGGATCTGGATAGCTCTTTTTTTTTCTTGTGTTTTTAAGACAGGGTTTCTCTGTGTAACCCTGGTGTCCTAGAACTCGATCTGTAGACCAGGCTGGACTCAAACTTACAGAGGTCCACCTGCCTCTGCCTCCCAAGTGCTGGCATTAAAGGTGTGTGCCACCCCAACCCAGCTGGTTAGATAGTTCTGATATAAAAATATACAAAGTTCCATAGAAGAATATTTACATAGTTCCAGAAATCCCAACTGTACATCCCAGAGGAACCATGTCCACCTGTCAACATCCTTAGGAGGACTATCTAGTCTCCTGAAAATGAAGCATGGTCAAGATACCATAGACTCTTTTTTTTCTGGAAGTTAGTAAAAAAAGTGAAATCATATTTAATTAGGTGTGGTATTCAGGGCTAACCTGTGTTTTCCTCAAACTCCTAAGTAGAAGCCTTGACTCCCAGCATCTCATGACTCCCAGCATCTCATAATATAATATTTGGAAACAAGGCCTTTAAAGAGATGACCAGGTTAGAATGTAGCTTCTTGGTGGACTCTTCATAGGGAGTTCCAGGAAAGACAGGGCTAGAGACCCTGTCTGAAAAACAAAGAAACAAAAAGAAAAAAGAAAACAAAAGAAAATAAACTACGGCTGGAGAGATGGCTCAGAGGTTAAGAGCACTGGCTACTCTTCCAAAGGTCCTGAGTTCAATTCCCAGCAACTACATGGTGGCTCACAACCATCTGTAATGAGATCTGGTGCCCTCTTCTGGCCTGCAGGGATGTGTGCAGGGAGAACACTGTGTTCATAAAAAAATAAATAAATCTTTAAAAAAAAAAAAAGAAAAGAAACTGCATATTCTGATCTTGGAACTTCCAGGCTACAGAACTAGGAAAGAATTATTACTTTTGCTACTTAGGTCATTTAGTGGTGTTTTGTTTTGCTCATCTGGAAAACATATACACTGTATAACCATGTTTAAACTGAGTTAAATTTCCATAGAATACAAATTTTCTGTGGTATCCACAGACATTTCTTTTCAAAATTTATTTTTTTTAATTTTATGTGTATGAGTGTTTGCTTGCATATATTTATATATGTACCACAAGCATACCTCGTGCCCCTGGAGACCAGAAAAAGGTGTCAGATCCCTTGGAACTAGAGGAAATCTGGATGCTATAGAAGAGCAACCAGTGGTCTTAACTGCTGAGTCATCTCTTCCTATCTACTAAAACCACAAACACAAAAAAATCATGGCATTCACCTACCCTCCGAACCTACGATCTTTGCTGTATTTTCATCCCTTTGCTCAAATTTCATTTTTCCCTGGCTGTACTGGGAACTCTTAATTGTATGTGAATTATTTATTACCCTGTCTTGAATTATTAGCATGGGGGTAAAAAGTTTTTTGATCTATTTCCCACAAACATTCCCATTAGGAAGCACATTTGGCACTTGCTGATCTCTGATTCCTGCTTTTTTCCCCACTGGCATAGAAAGAGAGAACACATTCCTATTTTACTGATTTTGTGTAAGAACAAGAATGAGACACTAACCGTAAATATTTGGACAATACATTGATGGCATCCATGGTGTCTTTGTTTTCCTTGTATAGAACAAAGTGGCAGTAGCTTCCCCGAGATTTTGGCCAAGAATGTTTTCTTGGATCTTAAAAACAAAAAATTTAAATGTCATATATACCATAGTAAATTAAAAAAAAAAAGAAAAGAAACTCTATGGAGATCATTTTTTAAATATAGAACCATTCAGTGGCCAATCAGATGCAGCCTAACAGGAAGCATAAATAGCTGTATGAGTCATACATACTAAACTTTCTGTAACTGGATACTAAAACACTATCTGTCTACATTTAAAATCAAAAACAAAGTGTAAGTGGTATAGAAAATGAGTAGGACTAAGCAGCCATCTTCCTTCAGCAGATACATGGAACCCACAGTGCTGTGAGGGTTACTGGATCAGCACACATCAGGACCAAGGGGCCCTATAGCTACATTCAAGAGGAAAGAACTGTTACAACAGACCCTATCATTCACACATTGTAGCACAGATGGAGACAGGGTTTGTAAGGACTTGTTTTAATGACTTTGTAAATTTCCCAAAGGCCATTTCTACCACAGAAGTTTAGCTAATATCTACAAATGGTCTATAGATATCTACATGAGAGAGTAGCTGGCATTCAAAGCCTGATTCTTATAGTGTCAGTGTGTACGAAAACTTAAGCCATGTTAAATGCTACCTTCTGAGTTAGTGTACCATGACTGCTCAACTCTTTGGGGATAGATACAGTCTATGACTTGGGATACTCTGTTAAAACTTTTCTTTTAATTGAATACTTCAATTATATTACAATCTAGAAACACATTTTAAACAAGATTTAGATTAAAAATGCTCAGAGTAAAGAAATTAGGACTCTGAAAAAAATAAGCTACAGCTACAATTTGCAGATCCTGCAAATATCCATGAGTCCTATATGACACAGAGGTAGGCTGTTTTTCAAGGAGCATATCTGGTTTCACTGACATAAAAACTCCATGAAAGAAAAATTATGAAAAAGTATTTTGCACAATCAACTAGAAAGAATCCTCTTGTTTTGAAAACTGTTCTTAAAAAAGTCTTTTCACACAAACTTAGGAATCTTCAGAGGCTTCTTCTTCCTGGAACTGAAGGTAACCGGTCATCTGGCTTTGTCAAGCGCAAGCACTTCTTGATAACAGGTTAGTGATTTCATGTACGATGTAAAGAACCATCAAGCAATGTAGAGAAGTAGTAACCCACCTCAGAAAACCATCACAGTATGTATATGCCTAGAAAATCAATTTCCTTCTTGATGAATGTGAGTTTTCTGTCATGTATAGAAAAATATAGCTCTTGGTGTGAAGTTCTTACAATTTCCTTAGGGCTGTGAATGGAAATATCTTTTTCGTTTTTTTCTTCCAGATCATTACCACTTAAGCAAAGTTATATGTACTCAGCACTTATGACAACATTGGTATTTCATCTTGTCTACACGAAATACCAATCACTCTTACCTGCTGCAGTTCTGACCTCTGTCCAGATGCACAGCATAAAGAGCACAAGAGAGCAATGTTTAATTTATAATACTGTTAAAGTGCTTTAGAGGTGAACATGCACATGATCGCATGGTAAGGGCATACTGAAGACTTCTACAGCACTTGGTAATTATGTGGTAGGTCAACAGTCATTGAGACATCAACAATAGGATGTTGTAGAGGCAAACAGTGAACAAATAGGAAAACTCCCCTCTAGGCACAGCCTTCTTGTCTCATTATCTTCACAATGGGCATGTCAGTTCATCCTCTAAGCTGTGTCTGTACCCATGGGATATAGCAAATTCTCATGACTAGAACTGAATGCTGCTTCTTTAATAGACGTTTTTTTTCATAAATATATCAAGACATGTTTGAAACACTGCGTGTGACTATTGTGATGAGAATACAACTGCTGTTTTGCTTCATGCCTTTTTTGGTGTGTGTTTTAGAAGTTTCCTGCATTGAAATGTAAAAATCTTTCAAATCAGCTAGGTGGTGGTGGCACACACCTTTAATCCTAGCACTTGGGAGGCAGAGGCAGGAGGATCTCTGTGAGTTTGAGGCCAGCCTGGTCTAGAGAGTGAGGTCCAGGACAGACAGGGCTGTTACACAGAGAAACCCTGTCTTGAAACAACAATCCCCATGTACCCACCAAAACAAAACAAAACAAAAACAAGAAAAACAAAACAACAACAACAACAAAAAACCCACAAAAAAACCTGAACGCTACTGAATGATTATTAGAGAACTTTTCTCTATCCACCAACTTACAGAAGGAAAGATTTAGGAGACATGTCCAATGAACACAATGCTCTGTCCTTCCTTTACCATCATCTTGAACAAGCTGTGTGAATTGAAGAGTTCTGAGAAATCTAGGGAGAACTAAGCCTGTGCTGGGTAGTAGTCAGGAAGTCATTTTGATCTTATTGAATGGTTTGGGATTTTAGTCCTCGTTTGGTAAGTAGATACTGAAGAATTTATGAACAAAATGAGATGTTATATTAATTTATTTTAAAATGCTCCCAAAAGGAAAAAAGTGTAAGGATGGGTGGGGGTATAATGGACTAAACAGAAACAACAGAATGTCGGTCATCTTGAAGGAGAAACAGAACTACCTTCTCTATCTGGGCACAGAGTTGAAAATGTCCACAATAAAAAGCTAAAATAGGGCTGGAGAAATGGCTCAGAGGTTAAGGGCACTGCTTGCTCTTCCAAAGGTCCTGAGTTCAATTCCCAGCAACCACATGATGGCTCACAACCATCTGTAATGAGATCTGGTGCCCTCTTTCTGGCCTGCAGGGATACATTATACATAATAAATAAATAAATCTTAAAAAAAAAAAAAAAAAGCTAAAATAATCAAGTATGACACAAGATGGTGAAGTGTGGCTATACATTTTAACTTCTGGTTTTTAGCAGTTACATGTAAGTACAAAGGCAAGAAATAAATACAGCCCCAAGACTGAAAACCTAAATGTTATCTTTCCTTAACAGAAACCAGGACAAACCAGTGAATTTGGCTCACAAGCATGTACTTCCTATTAGGAAACCCAAGCACAGAACATGAATTCAATGACCTCTGCAACAAACTAACAAACATAAATATTCACTTTCTAAGAATATTCAATATACAAGAGTACAACACTTGCACTGGAAATATTCTGAATAAGCAAAAACTAAAAACTCCAGCCTCTGAGAATACTATGTAATGTACACTTAGCTTTCAAGTTGAGTGAAGTTAGGATGACTTTCACCTATTTTTGAGGCACTCCAATTTATAACATATTTGCAAAGAATTCTAAGGCTGGTAATGCCCTTCCTATTTCAAGAAGTTTGGTTCTACCTTCAGAAGGTATGACATTGCAGTCCAGACCTACACAGAAGGAAACCAGTTAACAAGGGTAACCATGCCTCGAGGTTACAGTGAATAAGGAAGGAAAGATGTAGGTGGCTTGAGTTAGATGACATGATGGGGTGCATGTAGGACATTCTTTCTGCTTACTCAAGGTCCTCTTCATTAAAGCATCCCACATACCAACCTTTCAGCTTTCTCGGTATCCTGCTCCATCCACTGTCATCCCTGCTGTCCTGACACTTCCACTCTTACCCTTTCTCAGGCCCTTTCACTTCATATATAAATAAATTCATGGCTCTACTATCGTCAAAGTCAAGCAAGTTTCTTCTTCTCCTTACTATATTTTCCCCCTTTCTCTTTGCTTCACTGCTTAATTTAAAAAGCACTCTGTATATACTGCCTTCTGTTTCAACCTACGGTGTAAACTCATTTCCAGTCTCATCATTCTAATACCCAACTACTTAAGGAAACAGACATTAGTGATTCCTTGTGACAGGCAAATGTTTGAGTCCCTATCTCAAGTCTGGAGCACTTCCCACTGAGATCTCTGGGATTCTTTCCTTTGTGGAGTCTGTCCCAGGAAGTCTTTATGTCAGTGCCCCTTTCCTTGGTAGGCAGAGTCCCAGGACTAGAGACCTTGCCTGGGAATCATTTATTTCAAAAAGTACAAGAATTTGTATATATCATAAAATAGGTTTTTCCTCCCAGAGGCAGTAGCCCTTTTGGACTATGTAGCTTAGGTTAGCCATGAATTCACGATTCCTTTGCCTCTTGAGGACTGAGATGATAGAAATATGCTACCGTGGCCAGCCCCAGATTTCTTTTTTTAAGTTTGTGGTTAAAAACAAGTTCTTGAAAGCAGTTAGGATGTATATAATCTCAAAATATCAATGTATTTCCTGCTTGTACAATGTTGTAATAATTATATATCCCAAGCATGGTAAATTTTATATAATGTGTCCTTTTTAGACTGGTTTATCATAAAATGCCTGAGATTTAATGGCTGGTTATTTCTGATACTGGGTACTATGATTCAGAAGTTAACATGCCTATGTTTCACATAGCATATCTCTATTTGGGGAAAGTATAAGAATCCTGTAAATCTTGGCTGGGTGGTGGTGGTGCACACCTTTAATCCTAGCACTTGGGAGGCAGAGGCAGGCAGATCTCTGTGAGTTCAAGGCCAGTCTGTTCTACAAAGCAAGTTCTAAGACAGCCAGGGATACACATAGAAACACTGTCTCAACACCCCAAACACACAAAAAAAGAGATAAACAAAGAAAGAGCTCCTTTAAATTATCTACCAATTCATTAGCATCTTTCAAAGGCAAATGTTAAACTCTGTGGGTATACAATTACAGAAACCTGTGAGTTCCAGGACAACCAGGGCTACCCAGAGAAATCTTGCCTCAAAAAACCAGAAAAAAAAAATTGGATGTGGTGGTGGACAACTATAATCCCAGCACTTGAGAGGCAGAAGTGAGATCAGAAGGATCAGAAGTTCAAGGTCACTACATAGTGAGTTTGAGACCAGGCTGGGCTACATGACACTTTAAAACAAATAAATAAAAATAAAAAAGGAATGCTATAAATTTGCTTAATAATATATAATCCACAAATAACAACTTATACCAGTGTTTGACAGTGGATGAGCTTCAAAACATAAACTGCAAAGCTTTAAAGGCTATTATACTACGTCAAAATGTTAAGGGGCCCAGGAGAACACACTGTCATTGGCACTGGGCTCCATTTTCAGGGCCATGAATCAGCCTCCAGATATTTGTTCTCCCGATTTCTTGGTGACTTTTCCTTTAGGCCACTCTCAGCTTGGGGCAGGAGAATTGGATGAGAAAAGGCTGAATGCAGCCTCCCAAGTGACTGTCTCAGCTAGAGAACAACAGCCTTTGTGAGGAGGTGGAAGAAAACTTTGAGCCCAACTTTGACTACATGCCCTAACCCTCAAACCCAAGAGGTTCAGGTCTCTGGGAAAATGCCATTCCAATCTGCTTCTTTGAAAGAAAAACAGGGAGGAGGTGCTTTGTGTCACATAATTCATTTATAAAATCTTAAGAAAATTACACACACACACACACACACACACACACACACACACACACACACACACACACACAGAGAGAGAGAGAGAGAGAGAGAGAGAGAGAGAGAGAGAGAGAGAGAGAGAGAGAGAGAGATGGGTGTGGTGTCACAGACCTTTAATCTTAGCACCTGGGAGGCAGACAAGTGGACCTCTGAGTTTGAGACCAGAGAGATTTATATAGTGAGTTCAAAGCCAGCCAGGGCTACATAGTAAGACCCTGTCTCAAAAATACACAAAAAAGGTGGCTATGACATAAGTACAGAAAATCCAGATGTAAACAGAACAAGATGTGGCACTGTTACCTAAAGGAAAAGATGGGACAAACTATGAAGGCTACTTCCTCCTTACACAAAATATAGCATTACTTAAGAAATGAAGGTCATTTTCAAGAGGCAACTAATCAAAAAAAGTTTGTGCCTTTTAGAATCTGCATCTTCATGACCACACTAGCAGAATAAGAGCTTGCTTTTCTTCTCTGGAGAGTGGTTGTTGACCAAATACTGATCAACTGCAGCCTCCCCAAATGCATCCATGAGAAAATTAAGAGCCAATATGCCCATGATTGTATGTGATAAATCACCTTTTGTCCTTCATCTAGAATAAATAGTAACATACTGCCCTTGGAAAACTGAAAATACAGGAACACAGTCGCTGAAAATACTTCCCTTGGCACTGACTCCTTTGTGACCTTGGCTGACAGAGGGATGCTAAGATACTACTTTACACTGTGACCTAGACATTACAGAATCAAACAGCAACAGGTAGATCCTCCTGCCATTACAGGAAGGTGACATCAAGCCCAGCTTTGTTTTTTTTTTTTTTTTTTTTTTTTTTGTTTTTGTATCAGTAAAGAATTAGCCTCAGATCTCTACCTTTTCCTCTCCAACTACTCAAAGCTTCTTATTTCTGTTTGATTTTTTTTTTCAGGTGGTCAACCTTGCTTTTTTCTTAAGCCCTTTCATTTCATTGGAAGCATCATTACAAACATGGAGTCGTCATTCATATACTACACTCTCTCAAATTCATTTAGGGATACTGACAGTGTCCTAATGTGTTCAAGTGTCTTATGACATCATTCTGTGGGTTTGCTGTGACACATGTACTTTGAAATAACTGACTGCTAACAGGGGAGAACTTGAGACATGTAGCACCAGATACTGATAGGGGAGGAGAATGAAGAATAACTGTCTTCTGTTATAATTTTCATGGAAAATGTAAGTACTGATTTGATGGGAAAAACAAGAAATATCTAATTTTTCTTAGGGTCAGAGACAAATAGGAATTCTCATAGTTGTATAAAACATGAGAACATAAACATCAAAGTGACTGACAATGTATTCACCTTGACCAAACAATAAAAAACAAAAGACAGACTCAGATGAAGAGTCAACTTCTTAAAACCCCATGTTTTATGTATGTGAGTCAAGATACCCATGTTTGGGAAGCAGAACAGGAAATATGCCTCTGGAAGGGGAGGTCGGCATTTCTGTTCATCTGAATATTTCTTCTTTCTTTAAGAAAACACCGTGAGGGGCTGGAGAGATGGCTCAGAAGGTTAAGAGCACTGCCTGTTCTTCCAGAAGTCCTGAGTTCAATTCCCAGCAACCACATGGTGGTTTACAAGTATCTATAATGAGATCTGATCCCTCTGGCATGCACGCAGATAGAACGCTGTATACCTAATAAGTAAACAAATATTAAAAAAAAAAAAAAAAACACCACACAGTGAGCAATAATCTTTCCACTTTCTTCTCAAACTGGCAGTCAGCCCACGGTGGTCTTCACTGAACAGGAGTCTCTCAGGCGCCACTATAATTTTTGTAAATCTTCACTCACATACAAGGCTGAATGCCTACCAGACAGTGCAGGATTGTTCTACATTTAAAATGACTATTGACCCTCTGAAAGAGTGACATGACCCTCTCTGTACAATGTCAAGGCAGCCCATGATGTGACTAGGCAAGGCAAGGAAGTGGGAGGTGGGAGTGGGAGGTCCTGCCCCTCCTGCTTTCCTGAAACGAGAAAGAGGGCCAATGTTATACTTACTTGCCAAAGCCTTTTTGCCAGCTGCATGGTAGGCTACGATGTATTTCCTGCCTTCTCTATCCTCTGTTTTTGTCTCTAATCCTGGGAAGAGAGATTTAATAGCTTGATGCATGATGGTTCTTTTTTCTTTGGTGTCCTCAATGACCTATTAAAAACAGATGACAGCTATTACTCTAACAAGTATTAAATAGGAAAATAACACAGTGAATCAGTGAAGACATGGCTCATTTCATCAACTATGCAAAAGTCAACAAGAATGCTTGGCTATTATTTCAGAAAACATTTTCCAGCTGCCTGATATTGATGATCCCAAGGGCTTGTGGACAGAGCATATCCATCTCCAGACACTACACAAGCACTTCAGATTCATCTTTTTCTTTAATCCTCGTAAGCTCCCTGTTAACCCACCATTGTGCCATATATGGAGATGAGAATGAGGTGCAGGGAAATCACAGAATATATTTGAAGTTACATAATGGGAAGGTATGAGAGCTGGATTTGAAACGAAGCAGTCAAGCCCTGTGATCACCCACAGAAGTTGCTTTTGGTATCTTTTCTAGACAAAAAGCATAGGGAGTCCCAGAGCAAGAAGCTGACAGACAAGCCTTCGGGGTATCAGAAAGTTAATACCTCTGGCAACTCAGCCCACAAGTGTCTCCTACTGAACTTTATTTTATATTAAATTATTTTATGGGGAAAAATCTAACACAATTAAGAAAACCAACATAAAGAAAATTTAAACTTATCATTCAAACAACTTTTTGTCAGCTTTCAACGTTTCTCACACTAAGAAACAGATTTTACCTCTATTCAATAGCACAAATGGCTGGATATGCCACATTATAAAAAAAAAAAAGATTTTTCAAAACATGATGATGCTGTATTCAGTGCACAGGAATTTTCTAATTCATTATCTTAAAAATGCTGATAGTGTAATATGTTAACTGGGCCACTTGACCTCTTGCAGAGGACCTGGGTTGGTTCCCAGCAACAAGTGGCAGGTTATAACCATCACTAAGTCTAGTTCCAGGAGAATTTAACACTCTCTTTTGACTTCCTTGGGTACCAGGCATGCAGGTGGTACATAGACATACAGGTAGACAAGACACTTATTATATAAAATAAACAAATACTAAAACAAAAAAGTATTTCCTCTTAATTTAATAGCTAAGGTAACTTGCCTATAATTTATGCCCTTTAAAGGTTAAAACTGGGGGGGCTATAGAAATAGCTCAGAGGATAAGAGCACTGATTGCTCTTCCAGAGGTCCTGAGTTCAATTCCCAGCAACTACATGGTGGCTCACAACCATCTGTAATGAGATCTGGTGCCGTCTTCTGGTCTGCAGTCATACATGCTGTATATACAATAAATAAATAAATCTTAAAATAAGTAAGTAAATAAATAAATAAATAAATAGCTCAGCAGGTAAGAGATCTGGATGTCCTCCCAGAAGACCTGGTTCCTATTCCCAGCACCCACATGGCAGCTCACAACTGCCTTTAACTCCAGTTCCAGGTGATCTGAGACACCCTTCTGGCCTCCTTGTGCACCAGGAACATAAGTGGGACACAAGCATATATCATGCAGGTAAAACACCCATAAACATAAGTAAAAGAAAAAGAAAAAAAGTTAAAACAGTTAGCAGACAACATAGCTGTCAGGATAAGAGTTAGTCTGTCACACGTGGGAAATGTACACAGGGTGATACAACACTATATTACACATTCAGGGAAACTTGTACTCTATCTTTAATTGTCCTTACAGACAACTCTTTCTTTTTTCTTTTTAAAAATGTATTTATTTTTATTTCATGAGTGTGTTTTGCCTGCAGGTATGTATTTGTACCACATGTGTGGCTGGTGCCAGAGAAGGTCAGAGGAAGGCATTGGATTGCCTGGAACTGGAGTTTCAGACAGCTGTGAGCTACCACGTGGGTGCTGGGAATTGAACTCAGGTCCTCTGCAAAAACAACTGGTCTTAACTGCTGTGGACATCTCTCTAGCCTTAACTGCTCTTCTAGACAATTCTTAAATCCATACTTAAAAACATAGGCAACCCCTCCCCCCACTGCCTATGGCCTGACTCTGGCAGTCACTGTTGGTCATGGCCGTGTGAGAAAAGGGGAAGGGAGGAGAGGACAGGGGCAAGACCCAAAGAAGCTGAAGAAACTACTTACTATTGATGACAATTAAAAAAAAGATTTCGCCAGGCGATGGTGGCACACACTTTTAATCCCAGCACTCGGGAGGCAGAGCCAGGCGGATCTCTGTGAGTTCAAGGCCAGCCTGGTCTACAGAGCTAGTCCAGGACAGGCTCCAAAGTTACAGAGAAACCCTGTCTCGAAAAAACGGAAAAGAAAAAGAATTCCAAATTTAATTTAAAAGATGTTTTTTGACAAATGTGATGGTGTCTTTAATTCTAACACTCAGGAGGCAGAGGCAGAGGCAGTCAGATCTCTGTGAGTTCAAGGCCAATATGGTCTACATAGAGAGTTCCAGGTTGTCTCAAAACAAACATTTTTTTCCAGACAGGATGATATTTAGTCCCAGCTATTCTTGGAACTCCTGATTCTCCTGCCTTCATTACCTAAGTGCTGAAATCCAGGCCTGTGATGGTGTGACAAGGTTAAGACACTATTTTGAGAAACAGAACACACGCCAAACAACCAACCCAGGAGCTTTTTTTTTTTTTTAAATGACTTACTCTGTGTTAAGGAGGTAAGTGCAAGAATGTGTGGACAACACAGGTTGATGCATGTGTAACGGAACTAAAGAGAGCTGTTTCTAGAGAGAATTCTGCCAAGCCTGGTGCCCTTTCAACAATGAAAAACATTATTTTTGTTGGTGATATAAAGAAGATATAGAGCTAGGTGTGGTAGAGCACGCCTTTAATCCCAGTGCTCAGGAGGCAGAGGCAGGTGGATCTCTGGAGTTCAAGGCCAGCCTAGTTTACAGAGTGAGTTCCAGGACAGTCAAGGCTACAAAGAAACCCTGTCTCAAAAAACCAAAAAAGAAGGGGGGGGGGAGGGGATATAGAACTCAATTTATGAGACTATTTAAAAAAGAATAGCAAGGCTAAAACTAAGTAAGCTGTGGAAAACAGAGAGTACATAAAGGGGGCTTGTTTCTGTAACTTCTGATTGGGGCAATAAACCTGTGCCGAGGTATAACCTGAGGGACTGAGGAGATAACTTAGTATAGGGCTTGCCAAGCAATCACATCCTTAGCTGGACTTCCAGAACCCATACTAAAGAGCTGGGCATGGTGATCCACACCTGCAATCCCAGCACTGGGGAGGCAAAGAGAGGCAGCTTCCTGGGACTCACCTGTGAGGCAGACAGGGCTAACTGGATGAATTCTAGGCCAAGTGAGAGACTGTCTCAGAAATCAAGGTAGATGGCTCCTGAGGAAGGACACCCAAGGTTGTCCCCTGGCCTTCACATGCACCTATCCACCTGTGCTCTCACACATAAAAGAAAAAGGTACAATAGTCAGGTATGGTGGTATAAACCTGTAACCTTGCCTTGGAAGATAGAGGCAGGAGGATCAAGAGTTTGAGGTCATCCTTGGCCATATAAGAGTCTGAGGCCAGGATAGGCTATATGGTCTCAAAAAACACAAGCTGGGTGTGCCGGCATACATTGTAATCTCAGCATTTGCAAGATGGAGATAGGAGGAAACAAGTTCAGCCTAGACTATGAGACCCTGTTTCAATAAGAACAAAACAAACAAACCTTTCCTTGATATATTTATGTTGAAATTGATTATTTATCCTGATTTAAACAAAGTAAAACTAAAACTAGTAGACTGCCCTTTGAGATCAATAGGACAAGCCACCTTTTTGTTAAACACAGCTAGCTCTTCTGTGGTAACTTATGAACATGCACCCTGAAGGAAGCACACAAACCCAAGCTCCCTCTTGCACTGCTTACCTCAATGGCAACACTGGTTTCTTTATTTTTGAAAAGCTGGAGCTCCTCCAACTGCTGCTTGTCCTCAGCTGTCAAAACAGTGAGCGCTTCTTCTGGAGGGTCCTTTAACCACAGAAAGCAAGTAAGTCACACAGAGACAGTAAAACTACCTTTCTAGGATCTTTAGGAAGAGCTACTATATACAACAGGTGGATTTTTCTAGAAAGATTTCTACCTCCTTGTCCATTGGAACAGATAAGTCATCCAAATGGCTGATCCGTCCATCTTTTCCAATTTCATGAACAACAAAGTCAGAATATCTAATGAAGAGAAAACCAAAGTTTTTAAGAAGTGAGCATTTTACTTTCTACTAATTTTAGGACAAACTTTACTCATTCTAAATAAGAGATTTAAAGAAAATCTCTTATTTTAATGAACACTGAAACACATATAGTTTCATACCTAAGTTTCTGAAATATTATTATAGAAAATATTAACAAATGCAAAATGAAAGCCATCAATGTTTATGGCTCCATTAGTATAGTGCTTGAGTAGCAAGCATGGATGAAGACTTGAGTTTGATCCTCAGCACCCATGTGAAAAAGCCACATGTGGGTGCCCATGTTTGTAATCTGTTGGGAAGGCAGAGACAAGAGGATCCCTGGAGCCTGCTGACCTGCCAGTCTATATGAATTGGCGAGTCCCAGGTTTTAAGACTGTTTCAGAAAACCAATGCAGAAGAACTGAAGAGATAGCTCAATGGTTAAGTGCACTGGCTGCCCTTGCAGAGAACATGGGTTTTGGTTCCCAGTAACCACATGGCAGTCCACAAGTGCTTGTAACTGTAAAATCAGTTCCAGTGGACCTGATGCCCTTTTCTAGCCTCCTTGGGCACTACACACACACGGTGCAGATAAACACATACAGACACTCACACCATACACATAAAATCAATCTTTAAAAATAATTATGTGGGGAGTGACTGAGGAGGGCTTCCACATATACATGCATACATCTAAGGTTATACAGTCTATCTAAGGTTATACAGTCTATCTTAAATTAAGTCATAAATAGAGTCAATTAATTAAAACTAAATAGTTGCCGGGGGGGGGGGGTGGGGGGGGGGGGGGTGGGGTGGGGGGGGTGGTGGTGGTGGTGGGGGGGGGGGGGGGGGGGTGGCACACGCCTGTAATCCCAGCACTTGGGAGGCAGAGGCAGGTGGATCTCTGTGAGTTTGAGGCCAGCCTGGTCTACAGAGCTAGTCCAGGACAGGCTCCAAAGCTACGGAGAAATCCTGTCTCGGAAAAAAAAAAGAAAAAAGAACCCCCCCCCCAAAAAAACAAACTAAATAATTAAATCAGAACCCAGTAAGTCTGTCATAAGCTACTGTGAAAGCTTTTTTCTATTATCACACTTAACATCCTCTTAACAACTTCCACAGTGACACTGGTATCCATCTTGTGGATGTGGATACTGAGGCTCAGGAGCCTCAGCTAACTATTAAGTAGCTGAACAGAGTCATATCCAAATTTTCCTGGCTCCAAACAACTTCTAGTTCCTACTGAAAAATATGGTTTATTCAGATAAAACAACTTAAGATTATAAGATGAATTCAGCAAGAAAAAAAAATACCTTGAAAATGTCTAAAAGAATTTAACAAAACAAATACCATACCCCCACACACTAACAATATGCATCACTGGGAAATTATGTTTATTTAAACAGTTCTAGGAAAAATCTCTCCTTGATAAGAAATAAGAATTCATCATAAGCCAGATTGTGAATTAAAGGCCAAACTGATTAAGGAGCAAGATTCTGTCAAGAAAGAACAAGAGAAAAGGCAAAAGAAACAGGAGAAACAGGAAGAAAGCAAGAACTATAATGGGTACAGTATAGTAAGAGTGTTTGCCTAGTGTGCATGAGGCTTTAGGTTCAAAACACAGGACCACAGAAAGCAAACATGTTCAGAATCCAAGACTATTTACTTAGGCAGCTCTCCCCACTCTGTCCCTTTTTTGATCAGAAATGTAAACAATCCTTGGGTTTAGAAAACTAAATTGAGGGGTTGGAGAGATGGCTCAGCGGTTAAGAGCACTGGCTGCTCTTCCAAAGGACCCGGGTTCAATTCCCAGCACCCATAAGGCAGCTTACAACTGTCAGTAACTTCAATTCTAGGGGACACCCTCACATAGATATTCATACAGGCAAAACACCAATGTACACAAAATAAAAATAAATAAATTATACAAAGAAAAAAGAAAAATACAAGGAAAGTTGGGTGTGAAGGCATATCCCCAAATTTCTAACACTCAAGAGTCTGAGGATTGAGAGTTCATGACAACTTCTGGGTTAACCTGGGCTACTTAGAGAGACACTGCCTCAAAAAAAACAAACAGCAAAAGATTTTCTTAAAAAACAAAGAGGGAACAAAGAAAAGGAAAATGGAAGAGCGGGACTGTAGCTCAGTTAGTGGAGCTTCGCTAGCATGCCTAAATCCTGGGGCTTGAATAGAGAAAAACAGAGAAAGCTAAACAAAAGACTATATTGCTGATTTCTTTCTGAAGGAAAGTATTAACACAACTAAAACAAACATGTTTACTAAACTCACCTTTCTTTTAAGATCCCTGAGAAGCCCTCATGAGGGCTCACAAACTTCGTGATGCCTACATCAAGTTCTGTGAGCCCATGCTTCATCATATCTGCAAAACTCTCGGGCTCCTCCTCTTCCCCTGTCTCTGAAAGACCATCTTCCTCCTCTTCCTCCTCTCGCACCTGAGCACTGGAATTCTTTTCATCTTTCTTGGCACCTTCAACTTCTGGAGGTCCAGGCTCATCCTCACTGCTGTGTAGACCGTCATTTTCTACCCCATCCTGACTGTTGGTCAGATAGCACTCTGAGACCTTCTGTTTCTTTGTCTCCTCCTGCAGGGCCACGCCATCATTATCTTCCACAACAAGGCACCCACGTTTCAGGGACATGCTTGTCATTTCCATCTTTAAGGCTCCAAAAAAAACATTTAAGAGGACCTTTCAGAGAGGAGAAAAGAGTAGAAGTTAACAATCTCCCATAAAGAAGCTAGTTTTGGTAAACAGAGGCACAGTGAACCTTGTTCAGAGGATCCTTAAAAAATCATTTATTAAAATAATTATCAGGGGTGTGGAAAGATGGCTTAATGGTTTAAGAAGCTTGCTGATCTTTCAGAGAACCCAAGTTTGGATCCCAACACCTATATCAGGTGGCTCACTGGACCTGCCAGTCTAGCTCTAGGGGATTAAATGCTCTCTTCTGGTCTTCTAAGGCATCACATACACATAGCATTCACTGACACACATTCATATAAATAAAACATGAAAGTATCTTTTTAATGAGAAAATAAGTAATTCTGATAAAGGCATACACTCAAAAGCCTAGAAACAGAAAACATAGTACAACAGTTGGTACCAATAGTCTCACGAATATAACCAGGTGCAGTGGCACATGCCTTTAATCCTAGTATTTGGAAGGCAGATCAGGTGGATTTCTGTGAATTTCAGGCCAGTCAGGGTTACAGAAGAACCCTACCTCAACAAACCAACAGATAAAAAACTTAAAAAAAACATATGTAGTTTTAAGCCAGAAATATGTTTTTTTTTTAGGGATTTAGCTTAAGAAAATAATTTAGAGAGGGGCTAGCAAGATGGTTCAGTAGTTAATAGTATTTGTTGCTCTTGCAGAGGACCTGGGTTTGGTTCCTGATACCCACTCACATGGTGGCTCACAACCATCCCTAATTTGTTTCAAGGGATCTGACGCTTTCTTTTGGCCTCTGCAGAAACTAGACATGCACGTGGTGCACATATATATATGCAAGTCAAACTCTCATACATAAACATTTAAAAACTAAAACAAAACAAACCCAAACCAAACAGAATATAAATTCAGGGGGTGAAGGGATGTCTCAGAAGTCAAGGGTACTTGTTGCTCTTTCAGAAGATCCATGTTCAGTTCCTAGCACCTGCATGTAGTAGGCGTACAACTGCCTGTAATTCGAGTTCTTGGGGATCCAATGCTCTGTTCTGGTGTCTGAAGCTACCTGTATACACACATATACATAAACAGACACACATGTATGCACATAAAACAAATTAAAAATAAGCTGAATAATGTGTAGATACAACTGACTAGGAACTGCAAAAGGTGATTACTTCTAGGTGAGGACTGAGGTGGTTAAGTGCTAGCAGTGTGCTTTCATTGAATACCACCACTGTTCTATTATAACTTTGTTCCAGGCATGTGCATCATCTTTTCAAAACTGATAAAATACAGTAGTATATAAATGAAAGCACACTCACACCATACCAAGAGTTATGGAGTACTGTTGTATAATACCAATAAAGTCATCCGGGTATGATGGTATACATCTGTAGCCTCAGCACTTGAGAGGTAGAAATTGAAGGACCAGGAGTTCGAGGCCAGCCTGGGATATAAGAGATAGTGATGGTGGCTTAGTCAGGAGGATCTCAACTTTCTCCCCAGCACTAATTTTCTTTTTTTGAAGCTGGAGCCTGGCAAGGTGTAGACAGAAGGATTCTCTGGGGTTCACTGCTAGCCAATCTAGCCAAACTGCTGAGCCTCATATTCAGTGAGAGACCTCTTCTCAAAAAGCAAAGCCAACAAGACAGCTTAGTGGTAAGGAAGTGTGAATGCCTGGCCTGGCTTGAGTTAGATCTTCAGGTAGAAGGGGAGAATAGATTCCCATAGTGGTCCTCTGACCTCCACAAGTACACCCACAAACACACACACATACATACAATTAAATATAAACAAATGTAATTAAAAAATAAAAAAAAATACTAAGGTGGAGAAAGATAGAAGACATCTGACATTGGCCTCTGGCCTCCCTCTGAATTTCCCTCAAAACATACGGACACAAGACAAAAATAAAACAAAACAAAATGAAACCAAACCAAACCAAACCAAACCACAAATTGTAAATATATCAGGTTGGTCTTAACTCTTAACTCTCTAACCTCAGCTTCTTGAGTGCTGAGATTGTAGATGTGCTCCACTATGACAGCTATGTTATATATGTGACCATAATTTAAAAAGACACAGCCCCCCAACAGATTATTATTTAATCGGACCAACTGCAAAATCTAAGAGCAAAATCTAAGACATCACACATACTTCCCCAGTGAAGAGGAACTCAGGAGAGGGGCAAACACAGAGCAATCAAAATAAAGATATTCTGGACGGTGTGTACTTATCTACTTGATCTTACTTGAAACTAAAATAGGGATGTTACGTTTTTCCTATTTTTGTTACATAGACAGAAAAGTGAACTTACCAACCAACTTAGCAAACATATCCATATAAACCATAAATGAGCTCCAAAAATACTCTAGTCCTCTAAGTATGGTTAATGAAAAACCAGAAATAGCCATGGTTAGATATTAAAAATCAAGGAAATTCTAAGGATTGGCAGATTTTGCTTCATGTCATAGACATGACCACCTGAGCAATCACTGAGAGGAGTAATTACAATAACGGGCTCGTTGCTGTCAAAGGACTGACTGGTCAGGAATCTTGCGGGCTGCAAGAATATATTATAGAGATTCAGCTATGTATTAAAGCTATACTTTGACCAGCCAAGGGTCTGTCAAAAGGCAAGCCATTTACTATGAATATTTGGTGTTATCCAGTTTTTAATATTCTACCTGTCTTCTGCTATGAAATTCTTGCGTGCCAAATACTATAGACCATTTGGCAAACAGATAAGCTCAGATCTGCTTAACTTCTAGGTAACTAACTCCCCTGCTGAGCCTAGGAGACAAGCAGGCTCCTAGACGTATAGCTTTGTTTCTTGTGCAAATGAAGCTCAGGCCATCCCCTTCCTTCAGCCTAGGGGCATTGCAGAGAGATTGAGGACAATAGGGTGTTTTACATAACCATGGCCAGGGAGAGGATAGGAGTGAACCGTGAGGCAGGAACAGCAGACACAGAATAGTGTGGCCAGAGAGAGAAGAGGAAGACAGGTTTTATAGAGGTTAAAGCAGATCTCGGGTAGAGTTTTCTGAAAGCTAGGAATAAGGAGCTAGGAAGGTGAGATGGAGGACAAAGGGACAGAGGGCATAGAGCAGGTCAAAAGCATAGGAGCTTACTAAAACTACGAGGACAGGAAAACTGAGCACAGAGAGAAGCTGAATGTGAGGACAGAGCTGAAGCTGTATAGACAGAATTGACTGAGAATAAAGTGAATGGACTAAAGATTAACTCAGTGTGCTTAGATTCATTTGATATCCCTTAGATTAGTATCCTTAGCCACTTGTAGCATCTGTTCTGGACCCTGATAGAAATCTCAAGGCAGGCGCTTGGGGGGAATTCGTTATACAGGAGGAGATTCTGACACCCGTTCACAGGCCACAACACTTAGCAGAGAGGCAAGCACAGCCAGAAAAAGCCATGCATGCAGCCTGGCTCAGGAACTTTATAGTCAGACCGTCCACCTCTCCCCCAGATTTAGAAGGAACACCAGATCTCCTCTGTAACTCAGAGCAAGATTCCTAGGTCTTGCAATTTAGTAAGTGGGTCACTTATCATCTTCTGAGTTGTTGGAAAACTAAAATATGATGCTTTGGACAAATATCTAATATCTCTCCCCATTCAACTTTGTTCATTGACATTTTTTTTTTTTCTTTTAACTTTGGAGCCTGTCCTGGATCTCACTCTGTAGACCAGGCTGGCCTTGAACTCACAGAGATCCACCTGCCTCTGCCTCCCAAGTGCTGGGATTAAAGGCGTGCCCCACCAACACCGCCGCTGCCACAGCCCTGTTCAGTGACATTTATTATGTCCCCAGGAGAGGAGACATGACAAATAACTAAGACCTGTTTTTTTTTTTTTTTTAACCCCCTCCCCTTTTGTTTGTTTGTTTGTGACAAGGTCTCACCACATAGCCCTGGATGTCCTGGAATACACTTATATAGACCAGGCTGGCTGACTACCTCTGCCTCCCAAGTGTTGGGATTCACGGTGTATGTCACCAGGCCTGGTCCCTAAGACATTTCTTATTCACTTTTTAATTCTTGAGCTATTGTTGATGCTAAAGCATGGTTTGCTTTTAAATACTTTTGCTTTTTGAGACAGGGTCTCATGAAGTGTTGTGCATGATGAGCAAGTGTACCCTCTGTCTTTACTTTGAGACAGGGTCTCATGAAGTGTTGTGCATAATGAGCAAGTGTGCCCTCTGTCTTTATTTTGAGACAGGGTCTTCCTAAATTGCTTAGAATGCCCTTACAATGCAGCCCAGGCAGCTTTGAACTTGTGGTTCTCCTGCCTAGGCCTATAAGAGCAGGCATGACTTAGAAACACTCTCTTTAAAGGCAGAGCACACTCTATATCCTCTTCTGAAAAAAGCCACTAAGACTATTAGAATCATTTACTCTAACATTTATTGAGTATAAATTATCCTGTGTAGGCACTAGAGAAAAATGGAAGACTTCTTGCAATGAAACAGATGACATTCTACTCGAGGATAGAAAAACAAAATAAATTGGCGGGGTTTGTGCTCAGAAGAACATTTGCCTATCATGCCCTAGGTTCAATCCTCAGTACTGCAAACAGCTAAACAAACCCTCTATGAGGACATGCAAGGCATTTAGAAGCAGAGAAAGATGAGCAGAGAGGGGTCATTTTGGGAGAAGCCTCCATAAAGATGTTTTAAAGACTTGAAGAAAGCAGACCTGAAAAATGGGTGAGAGTCCCACAGGGGCAGAACGGAACTCGTGAAGATCCCAGCTAGAAATTAGGGTGACAGACCAGTGGGTCTGTTATTTCTTTCCAGGATACAAAATCTCAGTTTCATTAGTGCCTTGTACTGCCTCTAACAAAAGTGTTGGAACAGCTGAGTGTGATGGTCCAAGCCTTTGAGTTCCAGGCCAGTCTAGTCTTCATAGAGAGTTCCAGGACAGCCAGGCTACATAACAGAGAGACTCTACCTTGACTAAGTCCCTGATGGTCCAAGCCTTTGAGTTCCAGGCCAGTCTGGTCTACATAGAGAGTTCCAGGACAGCCAGGCTACATAACAGAGAGACTCTACCTTGACTAAGTCCCGTCTCAAAACTATGTGTTCAAATGAACTTATTAAATTAACAAATTCTGTCTGTTGGCTATTTGCTAATTATTGGACATTATTTCACTCTTTCTCACTATAGTGAATAGTCTGATTTTTGACAGTTTCCTTCAATAATAAAAACATTGGGCGGTGGTGGTGCACGCCTTTAATCCCAGCACTCGGACTCGGGAGACAGAGCCAAGCGGATCTCTGTGAGTTCGAGGCCGGCCTGGTCTACAGAGCGAGATCCAGGACAGGCACCAAAACTACACAGAGAAACCCTGTCTTAAAAACCAAAAAAAAAAAAAGGGCTGGAGAGATGGCTCAGAGGTTAAGAGCACTGACTGCTCTTCCAGAGGTCCTGAGTTCAATTCCCAGCAACCACATGGTGGCTCACAACCATCTGTAAACGAGATCTGGTGCCCTCTTCTAGCCTGCAGGCACACATGCTGCATACATAATAAATAAATAAATCTTTAAAAAAAAAACCAAAAAAAAAAAAAAAAAAAAAACCATTGCCCTGCCACTGGGGCATACCAATTTACAGACGGCCACAGATTTTGTTGTTGTTGTTACTGGTGGTGTTTTAGAGTGGGAACAAATCAAAACACCACCTATATTTTAGTGATTTTTAAAAAAATTAATTCAAGTGGCCTTGAACTCTCTTCCATCCATACTTTGACAGGCGCTAATTAACAGCAATAATCCTGTGCTTCTTAAAGCCCCCTCCCTCAGTTTAGGCTGGTGGTAAGGACCAAAGGGTAAAGTAGCCTGCACAGTCATCCAGCAGAGGCTGGAGAAAAGACCCCTGATGCCGGCCTGATTGCTTCCGCGGGTGTGAGAAGAGCAGCGGCCCCCGAGGCCTGCCCAGTACGTAAGACGTTTGCGGCCAGTACCAGCACCAGGCTCAGACCGGTGCAGGGTAGTCGGACGATCTCGGGGATTGAGCAGGGCTGGGGAAATGAGTTTCGGGAGGCCTGAGGCACCTCCAAGCAAGGAAGGAGAGGAAAAAGTTCCGGTCCACAGCACCGCGGCCAAAGAGAGGATCTGGACGCAGCGCCGCCTAACGACCGGCCGGGATCAGGGCAAAGAGCCGGGATCAGGGAACACGGATAGGGAACTGGGGATCTGAGATCCTGGATCGAGGAGCATGGAGCAGATACTGGACAGCGAGGAATGTGGAGGAGGCGGAAAAAACTGGGGCGGCGCAAGCTGCGACCACGGCCGGCCGCGCGCGTCTCCGAAGGCCTGGGGCCGCGCCGCCTAGCCATGCACTTACCCGGAGCCTGCGGGCGCCGGCTAAGCGCGGAAGAAGGCGCTGGGCTCGGGACGCAGAAGGGCGGCGGCCACTCGGAGGAGACAGCGGCCAGCGCCAACCTACATAGGGTACACCGCGAGGAAACCGACACGTACAAGATCTCCCACCAGCCGCCGGGCTCGCACACGTGCGGCGTGGCGCGGCGCTGCGCAGACCACGCCCTAGGGCGGAGTCCGTCTCACCAGCCCCGGGTCCCGGCAGGACGCTCCGCCCACCAGCGCCCGGGAAGCCTCTTGCCACATGCAAAGAATTCTGAACACCTTTAGGGCTTCAAAAGCAGAGACTGCCTTTTCAGGTATTAATTGCGCTTGAGTGAGAGCTTCTTTCACAGTTACAACCTTTTATTATAGTTAATAGCACATATTAATTGAATGGGTTTCCTATCAATAATTCCATGCTTGTATTGTGTGCTTCGATCGTGTTCAGACAATATGACCATTTCTTGTTGCATCCAGTGAACAATAATGAAAAAAGAATCACTTTATTTCTCTTATACAACTTGGTACTTGCAAATATAACAAGAGCTAAGAATGCCAATCTCCCCAATTCCTCTTTAAGACAGGATTTTTGACTCTGTAACCCAGGCTGGCCTAGAACTCAGGGCAATCTACTGCTTCAGTCTGTTTTTGCCACTTCTTAGTTTTGACAATTCCCCAGTAGGACTATCTTCAATAAAATCCCATAATTGCTGATTTATGCTTTGAGGTAAAGAAATATAAAATGTATTTTTCTTCTCATGCTCTTCAAGTAGCAAACTGATCAATTCAAAGCACCTTATAACATTTCAGATGTAATTTTTTGCCAGACTTCAACTCAGGGCAAAAAAAAAAAAAAACACCCAAAACAAAAAACCAACTCAAGATGTGTGGAATGACGGTTTGAAAGAAAATGGCCCTCAAAGGGAGTGACACTATTAGGAGATGTGGCTTTGTTGGATTGGATATGGCCTTGTTGGAGGAAGCGGGTCACCGTGGAGGTGGGTTTTGAGGTCTCATGTATGCTCAAGATTCTACCCAGTATCTTAGACCACTTGCTGTTGCCTGCCAGATGTAGGACTCTCAGCTCCAGCTCCAGCACCATGTCTGCCTGTACACTGCCATGTCCCTCCATGATGATAATGGACTGAACCTCTGAACTGTAAGCGAGCCACTCCAATGAAGTGTTTTCCTTTATAGGAGTTGCTGTGGTCATGGTGTCTCTCCACAGCAATAGAAACCCTAACTTAGACACCGAGTGTCACAAGCCTCTCGTCCCAGCACCATGATGGGGGCAGAAGGACCAGAGGCTTAAGGTCATTTTGGGCTATTTAATGAATCCCAGATAAACATAGGTTAGGTAAGAACTTGTCTCAAATTAAAATTTATTTCAAACCTTTGTATTTCTCTTAGACTTGTGTTTGTTGTATTTCTGTGTATATGTTCACATATGTGATGATTAGTCTTACTTGTCAATTTGACAGAATCTAGAATTACCTGCCTATGTATGCAGAATTATCCCTATTGAGTTAATTGAAATGGGAGGACCCAAATAATATTAACAGCATAATTCCTTGACTGGGATGCTGGAGCATGTAAATCAGTGGTTCTCAACCTGTGAGTCGTGACCCCTCTTGAGGGGGTGAATGACCTTTTCACAGGGATTACCTAACACCATGGGAAGCATTAGATATTTAAATTATGATTCATAACAGTAGCGAAATTCCAGTTTTGAAGTAGCAACAAAAATAATTTTATGGCTGGGAACTGCATGAGGAACTGTATTATAAGTTTGCATCATTAGGAAGGTTGAGAACCACTGGTGTAAATGAAAAGAGAGAGCCGAGCATCATCATTCATTGTTCTCTGTTTCCAATAGTGGACATGATATGACCAGCTGTTTCAAGGTCCTGGTGCCTTAGCTTTCCTTCCATAATGGACTGTACTCTTTTTTTTTTTTTTTGGTTTTTCGAGACAGGGTTTCTCTGTGTAGCTTTGCACCTTTTCCTGGAACTCACTTGGTAGCCCAGGCTGGCCTTGAACTCACAGAGATCCGCCTGGCTCTGCCTCCCGACTGCTGGGATTAAAGGCGTGCGCCGCCACCACCGCCCGGCGGACTGTACTCTTGAACTGTGAGTCGTCATAAACCCAGTCTACCTTAAGTTGGTTTCATCACAGGAAAGAAAACAAAACTATGTTCAATTCTGAGTTCAAGGAGACCAGAGGCCCATATTGGGTGCTTTCCTCTATCACTTTCTATCTTATTTATTTATTGATTTTTATCATTGTGTGTTTGTGGTATGTGTGTATGTGTGTGCATGTACACATGTGGAGGCCAGAGAACAATTCTGTAGAAGTTGGTTCTCTCCTTCTACCTTTACATGGTTTCTGGGGATAGAACCCAAGTAATCAAGCTTGCTTGTTAAGTGCCTTCCCCATCTGAGCCAGCTTCATGGCCCCTCTACCTTACTTTTTGATAAAGTTTTTCACTGATACTAGAGCTCTTCTATTTAACTAGACTGGTTGACAGGAGAGCTTAAGGATCCTGCTTCCTAATGCTTGTATTACAGCTATCTGCTGTGCCCAACTTTTTACATGAGTATTAAGATCTGAATTCAGGTCCTCATGCTTGCACAGCTAACGCTGTATCAATTAAACCATCTCCCCAACCAAAGACGTCTTCTTAAAATATGGATTTAATGTGAAGATTCAGCTAATTGAGTCATTGTCTTAAATACTTTTCTACTGCTATAATGATATACCATCTCCAAGGCAACTTACAGGAAAAAGAATTTATTGAGGGCTTAAAGTTTCAGAGGGTGAATACTTGACGATCGTCATGGGAAGCATGGCGGCAGGCAGCTAGGCAAGACACTGGAGCAGTAGCTGAGAGCTTACATCTGATCCACAAGTACGAGGTAGAGAACATCAGGAATCTTTTGAAACCTTAAAGCCAGCTGCTAGTGACACACCTTCTCCAACAAGGCCTCCCACTCCTTCCCAAACAGTTCTACCAACTGGAGACCAAGTATATGAACATATGAGCCTATGGTAACCATTCTCATTGAAATCACTATGTCATATATAATTATTCTACATTGCTTTCCTCTAGGATTATTCACCTCAGTTACATACCTGAATTCTTTCCTTTGTCCTTAATTCATTCATTCACTTTTTTTCTTTTTAAGATTGGTGCTCAGTATATAGCCCAGGCTGGCCCCAAATTCAAGATCTTCCTTCCTCAGTCTCCCAAGTACTGCAGTTATAGGCATATGGCACCATGCCTGGCTCATTTCACTAGTTCTTGTACAATCTCATACTCTTGGGCTATGGTAAATTAATAAAAATTAATAAATTAATGCCCCAAGGTCAGCAGATTCAAATACAACTATGTGGTATAATTTAGCCCAGATTTTATTTTAATTTTTTTTTCCGAGCAGATTTCTCTGTGTAGCCTTGGCTGTCTTCAAACTCACTCTGTAGACTAAGCTCGCCTCAAACTCACAGAGATCTGCCTCTGCCTCCCAAGTGCTGGGATTAAAGGCATGTGCCACCATTGCACAGCTCTATTTTAATTTTTAAAAATTTTATTATTTTATTATTTTTATTTTTAAAGCATCTAGATGTTTTGCCGGTATACCAACTGTGTTCCTGTTGCCTGAAATCCAGAAGTTACACCATTGGAATTAGAGTTATAGCCAGTTGTCAGCTGCTGGGTGTGCTAGGAGGTGAACCTGGGTTCTCTGGAAGAGCAGCTAGTACTCTAAATTGCTGAAGGTATCTCTCTAGACCCTAATGTTTATTTACTTAATGAGACATAGTCTCACTATGTGTCTCTGGCTGTCCTGGAACTCACTATGTAAATTAGGTTTGCCTTGAACTCACAGATTCACCTGCATCTGCCCTCTGTGTTCTGGGCTAAAAGGCATGAGCCACCACTCCCGGCTCCTAATTTTTATTTTCATTTTATGTGTGTGGGTGTTTTGTCTGCATATATGTTTACACCATAGTGAGTTTTCTTCTCACTGAGTAGTTTCTGTTCTCTCTCTCTCTCTCTCTCTCTCTTTTTTTTTAGAGCTGAGGATCGAACCCAGGGCCTTGTGCTTGCTAGGCAAGCACTCTACCACTGAGCTAAATCTCCAACCCCAGTTTCTGTTCTCTCTAAAGATTTTTTTCTGCTGGGTCCTCTTTTGTTTTGGTTCAAAAGCACTGCCTTCCCGGATTTGTTTGTGAGGTTGTCAAATTTCCAGATTCTCTACCTATCCCTTGCTTCTAAGTCACTCCAGTTCTTCCTTCTGCTAGGCAAAGTGCATGTTAGATTTTGAGTGCTTTTCTTCTATTATGCTTCCAGAATGTTTCAACCCTCTTGCAAACAGATCTGGACTCTCCAATTGGAAAATATGAAGGTCATCTCTAGGCAATCTGACCAGCATTAAATAAAGATCTAGAAAACCAGCATTCGTTGGTAAATTCATGCCAAGCCAAATAACCTACCCTGACTCTTCTGATCACCACGCTCATTCTCATTTTCGGAACATCAGAATATTGTCTAAATATTTATTTAAACTTACAGATTCACATAAAATCTATGGCATGGAAGGAGAACTATATGTTTCATTATTACTATTAGAATTTTTAAATTTTTATTTATTGATGGGGCTAGAGGAGACGTGCGGAGGTCAGAGGACAACTTGTAGGAATTCATTCTCTCTTTCCACCATGGTGTGGAACTCAGATGTCTTGGTGGTAAGAGTATTTATAGGCTGAGCTATCTTGCAATAGGCATTCTCTATGTTGCCCTAGTTGATACCGAACTCTCTTTATAGCTATACAGGAACTAGTAGCAATTCTCCTGCTTCTGCTTCCGAATCAAGAGGCTTGCCCATCATTAGGGGGCCAAAGCCAAAATATTTTCTTTATTTTGAGACAAAGTTACAAGTAGTCAAGGGCAGCCTTGAACTCAGTTTGTAGCTGGAGCTGACTTTGAACTCCTGATCCTCCTGCCTTTCTTGACCTCCCAAATGGTGGGATTACAAATGTGAGTCACCATGCCAGGGCCGAATTCTACTTTTATTAACTCCAAAGAAATGGAG